ACAAAAGTAGGACAGTTTCGTACGGAGACCCGCCACATGGCTTCCGGGTAGACCCTCGCGCTCTCTCGGGATCTCCAATACTGGACTGGACACCTCCACTGTGGGTTCGGGAGTATGAAACTGCGTGGAAGCTTTACTAGAAATTTCGACTTCCCTTTCTTCAGTCGAAGCTTCATGCCGACTGACCATAGAGTCCGCCGCTGGAGCTGAAGCACCAACTTCGTCGAATTGACTGCGATGTGGCAAAGCTTCTTCTTGAAGGTGCATTACAGGAGGCCGCGAAACCTCGAAGGAGCCCTCTAGCACCGAATTGAACGTTGGTTCGGTCTCAGTAGCGTAAAGGGACTCCGATAATGAAGGTCTCGAGACTGGTCCCTCTTGTGAAAATTCCGGAGTTGGTAGAGGGTGAACGGCATGCATACTTGGCATTTGTAGCTCGTAAAATGAAATCCGGGATTCCTGGGTGTTGCTTGGAGTTATCGGGCGGTGATTGCCATGCAGTGGTGGTTCGATGGCTATACTACCATGCCCCGTGCCGTCGAGAAGCAACGACGGGTCGATGGGAAACGTGTGTGACTCTAAGACCATTGAAGACTCCGGGCGAGGTCTTATTTCACGTTCCACTGGAGGAGCGGGAACTTCCCCGTGACCTCCCATCGTTTCCCGGGTCGAGAAAGAAGAAAGATTCTGACGATAAATTCCCTGTGAGCCTATAAAACTTGAGGACTCGGCCACCTGTTCAGTGTCATCCGATAGAGATATCACCGCCCTTCGGCATGTTTCAGATTCTATTCCAGCGCTCAAACTTCCAGAAACATTGCTTTCTTCGGGTTCAACCTCAATTTCGTGCTGACTGCTGTCGGATCGTTGCGAAGTGATCAAACGACCGGCTCCCGCTTCTTCTTCGTCGCTATCTAGAATGATAACCTCCTGAGAATAAGGTGTCCTACTAAAAGAATCTCCCTGGATTTCGTACTCCTCGGAATCACCACTCGAAGGCAGCCCATGTTCGTCAATTGCTGATGCACAAGAGACAGGAGATTGGCTTTCTTCACAAGGAACTTCAGATTCGGAATATTCCCAATCGTGGGCCTGCGCTGGCTTTAGTCCATGTGGTTCTGGAACACTTTCCGATGTTGCTTCTGCCTCAGATCCCTCGGCACCAATTTCTGAATCCTCCGTACCACGAGATTGATTTTCCACAAAATCTTCCATTTCCTCGGATGTTGCGGGCAAAGAATATTCACTCTCAGCTTCGCTATTGGCGCTGCCTTCCATGGGCTCTTTCGTTTCATGGGGTGAAGGGCTGGAAATTATTGGTGATGTGGGAATACCTTGCAGAGCTGTTGGTGGCGGTTGTGTGATTTCGGGCGTCGGTTCTGTGCGCTTTTGTAATCCAGTCATCATATCATCCGAGACGTCGATATCAGACGGGTTGTAAACTTCATCTTTTCCCGCATTCTCCAATGTGGGGGGTACACCAGGCGATTCCGCTTCAGGGTTGCTTTCAAGAGTGCGCCGAATGGAGGGTGAAAGGCAGCCGGTTGGAATGGGACTGGATTCCAGAATATAAGGCATTCTGGCCGTTTGCTCAATATGGCTAACCTCAGGCTCTTCTTTGAGGCCGTTAATTTCGTCAGCAGAAACAGGTAATTCGGGTGATTCAATAGGCTGACGCGGGGTTTCGAGATGAGGATGTGCAAGATTAGGGAGCTCATCTGCCATGTTGGGAGAAGATGAAGCAATAGAAACATCCCCCCTATCACTTTGATCTTCTAATAGTCCGTCCTGCCATATTGCAGCGTCGACTTCGATTGGACTTGGGGGGGAATCTAGGTAAGTCCATTCACTGCTTAACCTGCCGAACTTAGTGCGTTTCCTGCCCCTGCCTAATATGAAGCCGTCCTCTTCGGCTGTATTGGCAATCATCGAGGACGTAAGCGACTGGGCAAAGGCTGGAGACGACCAGACATTTGGGATTGCATTCGAAGCAGAGGGAGAGCGAGGCCTCACGGCAGGCGTCACAGCCAATACACCCTGCAGCACCTCGCCTGCAACCTCGTTTGTTAGGTATTTAAAATCGACAGTGCCCAAGGGTTTAGAGTCGCGATGGATCTATCCTTTGTTCAACATCAGGCGCGGTTGCTAATTAGGAGAAACTGACCTCAAGCAAAACCCGGTTGTCAAATTCAAGATCCCAGCCAAGCTCTCGTGTCAAGTCAGAGTTTCCATTATCCGTGCTTTTCCATTTCACGCCATCGAGACTCAAACGAACGATGTCACCAATCGCAATTTTGGACTCGGCAACTGCCGATGCCGCGCCATTATGGAAAACGGCTTTGACTTGGCCTTTTAGGCCTCGGAGCCGAAAGTCCGGTTCTGAAAGGAGTAAACTACACTGTTTAGATGACGACGAAAACGGCCACAGGAGTATCACAACCGCGCGGACATATTGTTCCTTTACGTCCTGGATGGTAGGTGAGAGGCTGGCGATAGGTGTCGCGGTAGAGGGGAACGACGATGGCGGTAACTCGGCCATTCTGAGATTCCAAAGCTGGAAACATGCATAGTTAGTATTATTGCATTTTCAAACGGTCTCGACCCGTTGAAAGACAAATCTCCGTCGTGGCTAAAACTTCCGCCATCCTCAGTGTCTTGAAGCTCCCGCCAGGCGCCAATAAAATAAATCACGTGACTGACACGCGACAAGCCTTGGCGCGTAGTGGCTGGTGAGTGCGATGATGTCATGGCCCGCTAATTGATGACTAATTAGTTATATCTTGGCGGTGATGCTATTCCGGGATGCCGATGCCGACGCCGAACGCGGGGTGAAAGCTGGCCATCCTTGCTTGCTGCTTATCTGGCGTGCCGAATTGCGCGCCCAGTGTTGCCAGCAACTATGGCTGAACCTCGACGAGATTCTGTGGCTGCAGGTTAACATTGCTGCTTGCTGGAGAGGCCAGCCGGTGAAAATGGCTCAAAGATTTCCTCATGTTCGCACGGTCGCCATTGTTGGAGCCGGTGCGGGCGGGCTGACGGCAGCAAAGTATGCCTGATACGCGCAAATCTTCCCCCTTGATAGAGTGAATGAATTTTGACTCACAGCACAGGTATCTGCTTGCAGAAAAATGCTTCGATAAGATCGACATCTTTGAACAACGTAATCGGGTCGGTGGCGTTTGGAATTACTCGCCTGCGAGCGACAAAGCTCGGTTATCAATCCCGATTCCTCAAGAAAATGCGAATCTCCCCGTCGAGGAACCTATTTGGCATTCACAAGGATCGTATGATGGCCCCGAGACGTCCGAACAAATTGCGACATTTGTTTCCCCGCTATACAATCGCCTTGAGACTAATATTCCGCACACTTTGATGCATTATTCGGATCTGCCCTTTGCGAAGGATACCCAACTTTTTCCAAAGTTTGAGACTGTGTTTCACTATCTAGAAGAATACAGCCAAGCGGTTAAACATTTGATTCAGTTCCAAATCCAAGTTGTGGATGTTAGACTCGAGGATAGACTAGCTGGTACCTGGGCGGTTACGCGAAAAGATTTAAGATCGGGTGTATCCCGAACGGATATATACGATGCGGTTGTGGTTGCAAATGGTCATTATAATGTGCCCTACGTCCCTTCGATTCCTGGAATATCAGCATGGCACAATTCTTACCCCGGCATTATATCGCACTCCAAATCCTACTGCTCTTCAGAGGCATTCCGAAATAAGAAGGTCATCGTGGTGGGGAATTCGGCATCCGGAATTGATATTGGCGCTCAGATCAGCAGGGTTTGCCGTGCGCCATTACTTTCATCCTCAAGATCAGAATCGTACTTTACATCCAAAGCCACCGATGATAGAACAGAATATCCTCCGATAGAAGAATTTTTACCACCTGGGAGACATAATCGCGCAGTGCGGTTTGCTAACGGCGTAATAGAGGAGAGCGTCGACGCAATTGTTTTTTGCACCGGATACCTTTATTCATTTCCATTTCTTTCGACCCTTGATCCACCAGTGGTGGAAGATGGCAGCAGAGCACTCCGGGTATACCAACACATGTTCTATATCGAGCACCCGACGCTCGTGTTTCCGGTTTTGAACCAGAAAGTCATTCCGTTTCCTGTGGCAGAAGCCCAAAGTGCGGTCTTTGCGCGCGTGCTGTCCGGAAGACTCGCTCTTCCTGCAAAAGAAGATATGTATGAATGGGAACGGTCTAATGTGGCAGCAAAGGGCGCTGGAAAGAGTTTCCATGTCCTTGCTTACCCGCTTGACGCTGAGTATCTAAATTTCCTTCACGATTGGGCCGCCAGTGCGGAGACAAGACCGAGCCTCACCCGCAACGGGCAAGGTAAAGAAGGCCCGTGTTGGGGCGAGAAGGAAAAGTGGTTGAGATCACGATTCACACAGATCAAGCAAGCATTCGCGGCACGGGGTGAAGAAAGACATTCTTGTTGCGTTCCGGAAGATCTTGGGTTCGATTTTGAAGGCTGGAAGAGAGAGCAATGGACAGGTTAGATCACATAATCGTCTTCACTCCCTGGGTTACTGGTTCAGCCTGCATTTAGAGTAGACTAGATTTATTCCCGGAAAGGTGGATGTTTTGTAGCTCAAAGACATAATAATACTTAGTTTTGGATCAATGCCATCTCAGCACGCGTACTCCGCAGCCTATCTATCCCCAGTTTTTTGCTTCTAAGGGCACTTGTCCACTACATCCCAGCTGATAAGGTTTATGAGACTATGCTCAGCAGAACAGGTATACCTAGAAAATTCCATGATATAATAGTGCTTGATTTGTTCCTCTAGATATGAGATGAGAACTAACCTTGCACTCAATTTTTCTCCGCGCTGTCAGTTGGCTGTCTGAACTGATTAGCACTTTCACAGCAAAAGTCAGGATGGTCACGTGCAGAAAGCGCCGTCATAAATAGCCTCCAACGCACGGTGATCGTTCCTCACCACACACCAATCCCCTAACTAACCTTGTGTTTTGAGAGCAGGTTTCTCTGGTTTGTTCATATAAAATGGGGTGCTATTGTTTGGAATCTGTTGAATCATAATGGGAACTCAGGATCCCATTCATGCATCTCCATGTATGTCACCGCACCCCATCTGCCATTTTTTGCCGGCTTTCAATAACTACTACATCCACTTGACCAGTATTTACGCCACAGGCATACCTTATACTAATCTGTCTACTCCGTACGCCAAAAGCTACTGATATAGAATCCAATCTCAGTGATACTGAATATCCTATCAAGTGCATTCTTGAGGAGTCAAGAGACAAATATTTAATTGCATGGGAAAGGGATTATGACCCATCTTGGGTAAGTTTGGCATCATCCAGACAGCGCACCCGGACTGATAGAATATTTCTATCATCTATTCTCTGCAAGCCTCTGTAATAGCTGTTATACCTGATTCTGGAATCTTCCTAATCTGAATTTCCTTTCATTGTCCAGGAACCCAAGCATTTTGTGAATGACGCTGCTGTGCATGCATGGGAGTTAAAGAAAAATAACCGATACCAAGCTGCCGACAGATATCGCAGAGAACATCCTCTTCGAAACTGTCACTTGTCTTATATCAATTCTCTATCTCAATCTTCTCCATCCTCAACGCTCTCTGCCTCCAATTCCGGAAGCCAGATATCATTGAACAGTGGCAACGTTTTTGCCCCCCAGTCCACGCAGCAATCTTATTCTTCAATTTCTGATCAAGGGGGATCATTAGGTAAAAATTCTTTTTATCAAATTCCATACAGCCTAGCAACACAGTCTTCTGGTACCTTTTCTCCCCAACACCAAAGGCCACTTTCACAATCAGGGGCTGAGAATTGGACCAGTTCGCCTGAGTTAGCCAATTCACCTCATCAGTTTACACAAGCGGGAGTTTCATCAAACAGTCCTGAAAATTCATTGCAGCCTTTCCAAGCAACTGGTGGATTGTCTCGGTCTGAAGACCCAGCTGAAGCGTCGTACCAGGTCATTGATCTGTCACAGCAAGCCAATTCGCTCGATCGACAATCATTGACTACTTCCGGTAATAGCTCGGCAAGAGATTATCGTCTGATCTCTCCTCGCACACGTTCTCCGAAAAAGCGGCCTTCGAGGCTCCCTTCAATTTACGGGGGCACCACCCAGTCTCTTTCATTAACACCACGTTTCCAACGCCAAAATCTACCAACTACTAAACAAATCCGTGCCCATACGTTCTCTTAGGAAGTTGCGGAGACACCTCTGTCGCAACTTTGGATAGAGGAGAGGATAGAGGACTTACTCTCAGACAGCGGTCCATTATCTACCTCTCAATTTGATCCTTTAATTCCCTCGAATAACACGCCTGATAATTTATTTGGTAAGAAACTCCCGTCGCTATTGTCCATTGTTTTGTTACTGATGAGACACGCTAAGCTTGGAAAACGCCGTATCGCCGCCAGGCGTTATCCGACGGACTAAGTATAGTACCGGAAACCGTTTATAGCAATTCGACAATCGCGGGGGAACACTTAGGCTCACATCCCTTTATCGAAGAATCAATTTCCGTATCCCAGGGCCCCAGTTCGAAATCACGACTGTCGAAGACAGTTCAAGATAGCGATAGAAGCCGATTTGGGTTTGAAATCAGCCCCCTCCTGCAGCAAGGAGCAAGCTATACATCTTTATCACAAGAAAATCGCCCAAGCAACTGAAAAATTCACCGCATAGTTCCGAACATCCGTCGTACACTATGGAAGAATCATCTAGCAATGGTTCTCCTCAACCCGCAAAGAGCGTGGCTGAAGCTGCACGTACTAATCCGGGAACAAGTTACCTGGAAAGGATGAGATACCTTCGAGCAGCGGAGCGCGCAAGTATTAAACCATTACAAAGCCTTACAGAGAGCGAAACGCCCTCCTCTGCCGGAGACATCGAAGCGTCTGCACCTCCAGCTACCTCGGAGGGAGTCATACCTTTAAGTGTCCGTCATGATAAAGAGCCGCCGGTCAGGGAAGATCATCAAACCGATTCGCCAGTTTCATTCGTCGCCCCACAGGCACTCCATTATAACCCTGAGCAACCGGCGTTGTTGGGAGAAACTGGGGCAAGGCTGATTGACACAACCAGTTTGTCTACACCAGCGGCATCATTAGAGCTGGCTACTCAACAGTTCGAACAGGAAGGCAAAAGAGAGGAACAAGCAATCGAAGAGCACAAAGGGATTTCCCTAGGCCCCTTCGAATTTGTTATTCCACTCTCTATGGATTCTAGGGTGAAGGACGACTATGATCGTACGCTTAGAGAAGCAAGCAAATGCATTCGCAGATTTATGGCCAGTGCTTCATGTGCAGAAGGAACAGCTGTTGAAGTTGACGTATGTTTCTGACCCTCATTTATCCAAGTCTCTAATCAAATACAGGTCGGTTCACTGGCACTTCAGATGCAACGAATGATAGAACAGCTCAATAATATTACCACTCATCCTGATTTGAATTTGCCGGATCAGCCTAGCAGCGGTCCTCTTGATGTTGCAAAAGAAGCATCATGGGCGGAATACTCAAGCTCCAAGTTTCAATTTCTCAGTTACTTCATGGACGCAGTTTTAGAAGATCCTTTGGAACGAGCTATCCATGTGATTGTTATGGTAAAACCTGGTGCAGCCGTTGATATTATGAGAAAGTATTTTCTTGGAAAGCAATTGGATCTTGTTCCCTCTGAGGAACCTGGGAACCAGCAACTGGTGTTTGTATCTCGCCACCTCAGTTTTCAGATATTCACAGCGGGGGATAAATCTCCAGCTGCATCCTACAAAGACCCAACAGTGATTGTTGCGCTGGATAACGCTTTCAGTGCAGATGATCCACTCGTTCGTAAACTGCGAACTACAGGTTCTTCTGGTCGCCTTGTTCCTGCTATCAGGCTCATTATCTCCAACACCGCCGAGCACATTGCACTCTGCTTACCCAAATGCTGTGACTTCGACAGACTTCGCTTGCTTGTCCAGTATACAAATTCTTACAGCAGCATCGCTGGCGATCTTCAGGATGATGCGCTTGGGGTTCAGGAAAACGCTGAGGAAACTCTTCGCTACCTTATGTCCGATCCAGACACAAGGGAATGGCCTCTTGCGGACGTTGAGACAGTGGAGATTCTAACCCCAGACCAAGCATCCTCTTTGGAGCCGGAGGAATTACGTACAATGTCTGTTTCAAGGCAAAAGCGCTGGCTGGTGAGTTCAGGTTATATGTCGGCTTTAAACCGGCTAGCATGCTGACTCATAGGTTAGGATGATGAGGGAGATGATGCGGCGAACTCATCAAAGCGGCAGAGAACGACGCCTCTACAAGACATAACCCATATTAGTGATTCAGTCAAGGGCCCAAGCCAAGAAAACCAGGAAGCTAGTCGTTTGAACGTCCAGGTCGAACGGGATAGCGACGCTATACTCCAAATAAATGAGCTGCGATCCGCCTTGGCGGATGCCAGAAAACGCTTACGGGCGATGGAAACAAACTTTGCCAAACTTCAACATCGTTACGAATCAAAAAATGAACTATATCATAAGACTCGCCGAGAACTCGAACAGTCTGCCGAATCTGCCAAGAAGTCGGAAACCCGGATTGAAAGACAGAAGGGGGAAATAAACAAACTTAAGGATGAAAGGTCTGAGTTGACCAAAGAACTCCAGGAGGCTCGAGATATTGTTAAAGCCGGCGGAGGCTTGGCTGCTGATCTAGAGATTGCTAGAGAGGAGATTCGGAAATTATCTCAGGAAAAGTCAAACTTGGAGCGGACAGCTCAACAGGAGCGCTCACAATCCGAATTTACCCGATTGCAATATCAAAATGCGTCGAGCGCCGCTGCCCAGTCTGGCATTGAAGTGCGCCAGCTAAAAGAACAAGTTGAGGAATTAGAACGGAAGTGTAACGGCGAAGCAGCTAAATTAAAACAGCTCCGAGAACAAAATAACGAACAACAACACCTCGATCGGATTCGGGAGCTGGAAAACTCGCTTATGACACGAGAAAAGCTCCTAATGATGAAAGAGGAGGAGATTCGGGATTTGAGGAAAAATCGACCAACTACGAGGTCTACGAGTACTCAGCCACGGAGCCCCAAGTTTGCTGGATCAAGTCGTCCTGCGAGTCCTGCACCAAATTCGGGATCAAATTCAAACACCATTGGGCGAGGAAGTGTGCTGCGGTTCCGTGTAGAACCATAAATATCGTTTGTCTATACATGAATGGGTACAAATATGGGGATATTCCTCTGTAAATGTTGATGTTGGGGCTTTTGCTGCTTTTGCTTATTGAACTCTCAAGCTGTCTCCTTTTCTTCTCTTATTTTGGAATTGGGTTGACAGAAACCCAGTATGGCTTATACCAATGAAACTATCTTTAAGAGCTGTGATGCAGACATAAACTTAACATTCCCTTGTATACATAGGCTCCTGCTCAGTGGTGATTTCATGATTCATATGAGTGGGGTGTAAATACCCCTGAGCACTCCATCTGGGTTCTTGATCCGTTGAGGTTGGGCCTATCATGGAAAACAATAAGCAATAATAGGGTTTCCTATGCATAATGGGTATTTAAAACTTTGGAGCCTGAAGAAAGACTTCGGAGGGTAGGTTTGATAATTCTTGCTGCAGTGGCTAAATGTAGTCTCGGCTTCCGGAAGATGTGACTGCGCCGAGAACCTCGAGTAGATCAAATTGTCAAACAACCGCTGTTTTTAATCGCGCAACTCGCGCTAAAAGTGGCGCCACATTCTTCCGGGGCCAGAGCAGGAAAGGTTTCGAGCTTGTTTTGGCTTCCAAGAGATGCAAGGAGTGGCGAAGCAATGCTTGTTGTGAATAAGCTACCTCATCTTCTTGTCTTGTGCTCTGTAAGATGTTGTATATAGAGCATAGTGGAGTCGTTCAAGTGGTTAATGTTTTGGAATGAATCCGATTGAAACAGTTTTTGGGGATTGTCCAATAATATAAATTTGAAGATGTGACAATATGTACAGAGTAAAAATCATGGAAAGGATTGATGTCCCAAAAATTTTAGCATCAGCCGATGTCAACACCATATGGATAGAATTAGAGTCCCCTTTTGCACCGCCCATTTTCCTATGCGTCTGAATTGTGATCGACCTCTGAGGATATTCATAAGGATAATCAGTTATACTTTGGAATCTAGGCCATCAAAGCGCTCCAGACCATCGGAGTCCGCTCCCGGGTTACAGGTTTCATATTTGAGCATCTTTAGAAGATAGAAGAACCCAGTTGCAGCGAGGGAGCCAAGGGTCGGGCCAGCCCAATATATCCAATGGTATGGAGCGAAGTCACCCAAGACAAGATCGGGCCCAAAGGCACGAGCCGGACTGAGGGCTCCTCCACTATAGCGGGCACCTATCCAAGCGTTAGTCTCAATGATAATTGTTGACCGACGAGCGTAGAAGTACCAGCAATTTCGCAAATGAAAACAGCAATGCCGACCACAAGAGGGACTAGATATGTGGCCCGCTGCTTTTCCACAGCCAGCATGAGGACAGCGATCATCAACTGGGCGGTCAAAAAAGCCTCGATGAAGAGGCCTTGCACGACAGTTGTTCCAGGTCCTAACCGGGCCTGAACGGTAAGAGGACCTGGGAATAGGATTGCCACAACTGCCGAGGCCGCAATGCCAGCCGCCATATGAGCGAGAGCTGCCACACCAAATCTCGCGAGGGATATTGCACCAAGAAGCCATAGCGAAAGGGAAGCCTAGTAACATCCACAATGAGATATTTGCACAAAAAGGAATATATCCCCATAGAGCTTCACTCACAACGGGGTTAAAGGCCGAACCGCTGACGCGGAAAAAGATCCATGCGTTCACAGTTACCGAAGCGGCGAAGGCAGCTGCAATGTAAAGAAGGCTATCCACTCCGGGACCAGTTTTCTCGTTGGCAACCTGAGTACCTGCAAACGCAGTGAAGAGGAACATGAATGTCCCCACAAACTCTCCAATGAAAGCAATCAAGTGGTTCCGGATAGCATCCGGGGAATCACCTGATGAAAACACCATCGAAATTATTGAATGGAAGTGGTAAAAGGTATAGGTTAAGAAGCAGAACAACGCCGAGCCAGCAGCGGGAACCAAGAATAATTACAAGAGATTTCGAGTTTCAAAATTCATGAACATACTCTTCTTCATAGGAAAGAGAGATAATGTAGAATATAGGCTCATAAATATAAATCGAAATGATGGCCAAGGCAGCAAGAATACATCTATCGGAGGTCAATGGTGCACTGGGCCCGTGAGGTTGAAGCAGGGACAGTCGCACTCCTAAAAGTGGTCGCTATGATGCAAGCAGCTGCATGCTCCTCCCAGGCGAGGTACCTGGAATCCCCTGCTCGCCATTTTGGTGGAGTCAGGAAGAACGGCTTGGTAGAAGCTTACTGCGTATGTGCCTTTGCTTGGTGTGACCGGCGTTTGTATGTATAAGCGCAGGGGAAAAGGAGAACGGTTAGGCGAGAGTAAATTCTCAGACAGGAAAAAAAAAGAAAAAGAAAAAAGAAAAAAAGAGGGACTGTCCTTTCCCTTGCTAGCCGAAATGGTAGCTAGAGCAAGAGGAAATATTGCAGCCTGAAATTCAAGTCCGCGAAGCTGGTCAGACAGGAGGTCAAGGGGGTGGTTGCTTAGAGACGCTTGCCATGCTTGAGCGTCACTAGTGGTGGTTTCTCACAGTTTTCTGTTTCTTCGTGAATAAGGACGCTGGCCGAGAATAGGCTGGCATGAAACCCGGGGTTCAACGGAGTGCGAGATGAGGACGATGCGGCGATGTTGCACGTCTGAGACGCGGTGGTGAAGCCGAACAGTCTTGGCGGAGATGCGCAGGTTTATTGGACGAGAGACGGATCCCCACCCGCATCTGCTGATATCAAGAGCAGCGAGGGCATCGTGGGCATCATAGCGTAACTCCAGCTTGTTCTCCCAGGCTGGCTGAGGATGGTTCCCTTGCTGGTAGTGAATGAATGTCCACTGGCATTTTCGACATCCAGAATATCTTTTGCTCCATGGATATACCCCCTCCTTTTCGGTTGAATGTGTGCTTTCAATGTAGGATTTGTCTTCGTAGTGAGATCAGGGGTCCATTGGAGAAATTTGGAAGAGCTGGTGCTTCTACTGCGCATTCCGTCGGTTTTACTTCTCTGGTAACTTAGATGTCCGCTTGGCGACTTTACATAAACCAAGACTTGAAAAGAGTGGTGGACACAGAGGTACCGTTGTTGCGCTTCTTCGCAAGACCACACATTGACCGTCACGGATAATTTTCTTCTCTGGACAACGTCGTCTTATGGCCGCATTGAGATTCTGTTTTTTAGAGAAGTCACACTTGCGTCCTGTGTATAGACTTAACCGAGCAATGTGCACAAAGACGCCGACCGATGCTCCTACAGGGCCATATTCCGGCCTTCCCAATTTGCCCCCGATATCGATTTTCCGGTCGCAAGGAGAGGGTTATCCTTCGCCTGCGACTGCGCAATGGCATACGGAAGCGCAAGAGAAGCTGATCGAGGGCATTCGGGAGCTGCGGAATGACCATACCAGTGGGGCAAAGGAATTGGCCACAAAGGCGGTGGCCTCACTAGTACGGATCGCAAGAATAATTGAAAGCGGGCTGACCGGGGAGAGATCGAGGCCGGGAGAGAAAATAGACCACAAGGATAAATCTCAACTATGGTGGGATGCAGTTCGCAAGGCTGGCTGGGCTATCTCTACCTATGGAAGACCGAGTATGGGGGCTGCAATTACGGTGGCAATCCTTAACGTTCTGGAGAAGCAAGCTAAAGCGGGAAGTGCTGCGGCCGCAGGGCCAGGTAACGAATTGATAGGTCAACGAGTCCAAGCAATGGAAGAGTATCTGCGTGACAGAGTGGACGGAGGGCAAAGACAAATTGGGTGGAATTTACGACAATTTATTCGAGACAAGTTTCTTGCTGAAGGTGTCGAGCGCAGAGTGACCATCTTAACACTGAGTCTAAGTTCCACCATTAAACAAGCCTTGATGACAATGCTTGAGCTCGAAAAAGGTTCGAATTCACCCGGAAACAGACAAGAGCTCATGATAGATCTACGCATCATGGAATCTCGTCCACTATGCGAAGGAGCAGAACTCGCAAGAATACTGGCGGCCCAGGCGGCTGGCAAGGGATGTACCCATAATCTAAAAATCCAGCTTGCATCCGATGCTAGCGTCGCAATTCTCGCAAGAGACGCCGACATTGTCCTTCTTGGAGCCGACCGGATCTCTGGATCTGGAGACATCAGCAATAAAACGGGCAGCCTCCCCGCAGTCCTGTGCGCGAAGAGCGTGTCAAATAAAGCAGTGGTCATCGCGTTATCGGATATTGAGAAAGTTGCCAAGCCAGGGAGGATGGATGAGCACGAGGAAGAAGATAATGATCCGACGGAGCTTGTGAATGCCTGGAGTCCGCAGGCGCAAGAATGCATTTCGCAAAAGGCATGGAAGGAGATGGTGAGGGTGAGAAATGTGTATTTTGAGTGGGTGCCTGCAAACTACATCGACCATTACCTTTGCGAGACAGGGGTACTTTGCGTGGACGATATCAGGAAGCAGTCGGAGTGGGTACTGCAGGCCGAGCAGCGGCTATTTGGCGATGTGGAAGGGCTGAACCATGGATGAAAGTACCACGGGGCGTCCGTTGGCTCTGCGGGCCCAACCATGGAAAGCGTGGTGTCATTCACCTCTTGTGTTGTATGAACCCAACCTCGTCGAAAGGGTATATATATATATATATATATGAGAGAACACGCGGGCTTTTTGAAGAAGAGGAAAAAAAAAAAAAAAAAAAAAGGAAGAAAATGGATATGAAGTCACACTTGGAGGAGAACTAAAAATAGCCTACTGGAAGGCAGCTTTATCGATAAGCCGGCGCTAGTCCCAAAACAGCGCAGAGTAAACAAAGCCCCGTGACCCCGGCTCCCGACCAACCACCGCCAGCAGCATCGCCGCCGCTGGCCAACAATTCACCACCAAGCAGCGCAGTCATGACGACTAGATCTCGGCTGCAGTTAATTCTCCTGTCTTGATGCGCCTGGAGGTCATTCGTATGAACCCTATGACTCGCCCACTTTATATTCTCTCTTGTCTCTTCCTTCTTTTCTTCCAATTCTTCACCTTCCCCCCCTTGTCACTCGTTATCTGGAGCTGTTTATCGTCGGCTGATACGTACCCTTTTGTACCTGCCATGCCATTCAGCCGATAGCACGCCTGGTGTTTATGATCTCTCGCCTCCTGACAGTCGCTCGCTTTATGTTACGTGTTTTGTTTTCACCCCTTAGTGTTACGACCTTCCATTTTCCTTCCGATTTACCTTCCTGACCGCCCCCAATGGCTCCCGAAGCACCGCAGTTACCTACGAAATTTCCCTGTTGGTGTAGGGCCATATATTCGTGGGGAGGCGAAACAAAACGTGACTTAGGCTTTGTGGAAGGAGACTTGATCGAATGTCTCAATGCCGGAGATGGATCGTGGTGGACCGGCCGGTTGAAGCGCGATCGACGAATGGTGGGAGTGTTTCCATCGAATTTCGTCAAGGTCCTCGACGAAGGGTTCGTGCCTCTGAGTCGCTCTGTGAGCCCTCTGCCGCTTAGCGCACAAGTCACTCCGTCAAATTCCACTGCTGGCGGACCGAAGAAACAGAAGACGGTCTTCAGAAAGCCATTTCAGGGTTACAAAGAGGTTGTCGGGCCCTCAGGAACGCTGTCCAAGCAATCGACTCCGGTCGAATCGCCTCTGAAAACACCAGTAGCTCAAAAACAATCAATGCGCAAATCACGGGATCCGGATCGCACACCAACAACAAGGCGGAATGAAGCTCCCGCTCGCCCGCCGCCACGTGCTATCTCTCCCGCTCCGCCGCCGCCACCCGTCGCGGAACCCAATGATTCTCCGCCGCCTCCACCGCCGCCTCCTCACAGAATTTTGCATAGACGGTCTGTGTCGCCCCAGCCTCAGTACTATCACCAAATGCAGGATAACTATCCTCCAAGGACTCCGTCTCCTTACCCCCAGTCACCCATCCATGGCAACACTCCATCACCACTGAGGGACGCAATTGAAGACGTCATGACCTCCTTGCATGATATGGGCCTTCATCGTGGCGACCCTTCGCCGGAACCTCCCCGTGGTCGCTCCCCTTTTCAACCTTGGTCTCCGGATGCCTATGAACAAATACACGAACATAGTGCACAAGGCCATGCTGAGCGCCCTCTAACTTCTCTGGGCCTTGGGGGTCATGATCCTTTCCGGGAGCATGATTTTGACTACCAGCAGAATAGTTTCAATCGAGACTATGATGGCCCCCCACAGCTCGGCAATTACGTCGAAAGAATGGAGAGTCGGTTGCGACAACTCCATGCACAGGAAAACAAAGATGAGCTCCATCTTCCACCGCCTTCACCGCCGAAGAAGGATTCTCGGGGGAACGAAGGGTTCATGTCCCAGCGACAGCGATCGCTTAGAAACAGAAAATCCATTAGCGAGCTTAACAGCGCGTATCTTGGACGCACACATACTACGAGATCAACTACGACAAACTCATCGAGCGGTGTCCAAAGTGTCGCAACAAACAGCACCACGAGTACCGGATTAACGAGCCAAAGTTTGATGAGTGGTACGTCGGCCGGGGGGTTTAGCGCCACAAGTGCGGCCAGTTTTGCGCGACGGTCCAAGGTGTATGGCATGTCAAAAGATAGACCCGCAAGTCCATTGAACCGTCCTCTATCCCGAGGGATCTATGGCCTCGAGAGAGGCAAATCTAGCAGCAGTAGGCCGCAGACTCCTTTGACAGGGATATCGTATCATCCAAGCCACGATTCTCGTCAGGGAGCTACTTCAGCAATGGGGTGGTCTGAATATAGTAAGGGAAACGATTCGCCGGGTCTACTTGGGGGCCTTACAACCCCCAAAACAAAGAAGACAGGATTCTTGAAGAAAATCCTCGAGTCGGCAAAAACTGGGGCTGCAACTGCAAGAAGCAACATAGCTTCAGGTCAAATATCGCGACCATCATCCCCCACGAAAAATCTTATCCAGGGTGGCATTTCTTCACTGTCTCCTACTCGACACGGAAAGGATGCTTCAAAAGAGATGGGTATTGGAGCAAACGATTGGGTACAGGTTCGAAGAGATGTCAATCGCGCTACTACTCCCAGCCGAAATGAGCTTATTGAGCGAGCAGAACGTTGCCAAATGATGGAATACCCTGTGATAGCCCCTGTGACTGATCTTCATGAAATCGGGGAAGGAGATGAGGGTATTGATGGTCTGCCAATTGCTGAACCAACTAACTGGAACACTGTGAATCTGCAGCTAGTGGACAAAAGTGCGCGGTTCATCACGAGCTTGCCACCAATGATGAATCCTGTGAGCTTAGCCCAAGGATATGTTTGCCGCCCGTATCGGAGCGATGCACAACGGCTGCGTGCTATTTTTACTTGGGTTGGCGAGAAGATTGCATGGGACGATGATCTAGACTGCGATGTTGATCTGAGAAGGGTCATTCTAATGAAGCGAGGCTGCCCACATGAAGTTGCAGTATTGGTGATGGAAATGTGCGCTGCTGTTGGTATCCACGCTGAGGTTGTCAGGGGGTACCTGAAGACCCCAGGTGAAGTTATAGATTTCGATAGTCTATCGAAGGCAAATCACTGGTGGAACGCGGTTCTTATTGACGGTGAATGGAGAATTATGGATTGCTCCCTGGCCAGCCCGACGCATCCGCGCCGGTCCTTGTATTCGAGTGCGAACTCTCAAGCTGCTGACAGCTGGTATTTCTTGGCACGCCCAATGGAAATCTGCTACAGCCATGTGCCTGTGATGTCCGAGCAACAGCATATTTGCCCTCCCATTGCTCCCGAAATTCTTCTCTCACTTCCATGTGCTTGTCCTGCCTTCTTTAAGAATGGCCTTCACCTGCCAAGCTATGATACCAGTTTAGTCCAGATCAATGGGCTAGAGACGGTACAGATTCGCATTAATGTTCCGCCCGATGTTGAATGCGCTGCAGAGGTCGAAGCCATTGCTTTCGCGCATGACGTGGACGGTGATCGTTTCGAGAGCGGGGACGTGGTAAAGAAGCGAGCGTTGGCGCAGCCGGATTGGTTTCGCGGTCAAAAGCGATTCACAATCAAAGCTGTGTTACCCGGGGACGAGGGTCAAGGCGTATTGAAGGTTTATGCTGGAAAGAAAGGCCTCATGCATTCATCAAAAGATATTCCGCATCCGCTGGCTTTTGCTCTTCCCATCATTCACACTGGTGAGAATCCTCCTTATGACTTTATTCTTCGCCATCCAACACCCCACGCCCAACGACACGACTTATATGTCATACAACCGCAATGTGTCCGACTGGCTATTAACAATACCTTCGTTTTTGCGGTTCGCCAACATCCGGCTTACTCGCCTTCCACAACATCAAGCTTTAGCGAGGTGAGTGGTCGTGTGTCTCCAAACCCGTTTGCCCGACCTTCAAGCTCCCTTAGCATGGTGTCGTCTATAGCTACCGCTTCGAATGCATCCACTACTTCTGCGAGTAGTAAGAGCCATGTGTCGCGTGAGAAGCCAGCAAAACTAGCGGTACAGACACCATCGGGCAAGATTTTACGACTTTCAAGAAAAGCGGACCATATGATTACGACAAGCACGGCAACTGAGTGGGCCAATGATGGTACTCCCGATGGAAGTGTTTGGGAAACGGTTATTAAAGTTAGCGAGCGAGGCGTTTGGAGAGGATTGGTGCTTGCGGATCGGAGTGCTAGGTGGTGCGTTTGGGGGGAATGGGAATGTGTTTGAATCATATCCCTTCGTTCCTCTGGCGTTCGTTTTCTTGATTGAATTTTGTTTTGGAGCGTATTAATTAGCCTTTTGGCGATTGGCGCAAGTGTGCTCCTTACTTGGGATGTACAGGTGGTTTTATACCCCGATATCTTTTCTACATGGTGCAAAAAGTGGATTGTCCTTTTTTCCTTCGCGCGCGGGCAAGTTGACATGTCCATTCCTTATTGTGTTTCAATGTTGTTTCAACCTTTTTTTTTTTTTTTTTTTTTCCCTTCCTTTGGAAGAAAGAGGTTTGTTGAAATGAGCAGATGACTGAGCACGACCAGATTTCCGCACTCTGTTCAATCTGACATGATAGATGTCAGTTTGGATGGATGGCTTGATGTTGGAGTATGTACCCATGTGGATGAGTGAGTACCATTGGATGATTGTCTTTTCACTGCCGTCCATTTTTGAATCTCGTTCTGTTTTTAGTGGATGAATTCTACCCTTAAGTTCTTGTTATCAATAGCGATTTTAATACAAATTTTGTTTTAGGACGATTACCTTGCAAGGATGGCCTCGCTAAGCTAAGAAGCTGGTAGTTTTGCAAAGGATTTTCCTTCGACGTGTTTCATAACATCATGTCCTTGAGTTATAAATAGGTAGTCGCTGTTGTAGCACGGTGCATATTTCGGCCGGCTAGAAGGTCAAGCTAAACCATTGTTATGAGAGAAATATGCACTTTTACTCCAACTTTCTAGCCATGACATTTCTCAATAACGGGGCGACTTGCTTCCTGCTTTTCGACACATCCATCTGGTTCCATATGCGGATTGAAGCCTGGTCCATGGTTGAATGCGTTTGTATATCAACACTCGGGCACTTTTGCAGCTGAAGCTCATCCACTGCCAACAGTTCGAAGTTTTCCAGACCCTGCAAATGTACCGGGTTGAGAACCCACAGTAGAAATTCACGATTAAACTTGTGTTCCGGTTGAAGAGTGTACGCAGTCATTATGGCAACCACATCAAGATTCCGGGTCCGGGAAAAACCGTGTAATACATCGAAGAACGGCTGAGAGGAGTTGGACTTTCCATCCTCTTGTTCAGCCTTCGAAACAAGCCAAGAAAGCGGCTTCACCACGCTGCATATTCCGATTTTGATATCTCCAGGAGATCCACCCGCTGCGGGGACCTGGTCGATCCAGTCCTTGTAATCTCTTCCCAAGACTTCGTCTATGGTTAGTCTATCAACACTGGAATTCTTCGCTTCGATAATCTGTTGGAAAAACTCGTCACGACTCCAACTGCGGTCCTGCGTTTGCTTGATCTTATTTTCAAGGAATGATACTGCCACACGATCAACATCTGACACTTTATCTTTGTTCGTCATGTTCGTTGTATCCGCAAGTATAGCCGCCAATGCGAGCTTCGCGGCTTGAGACTCGTATATTAAGGCCAGCCCATCGTTGAATGGCGGGGAAGCTGCATCCTTAACCATTTCATTCTGCGCAGGAACGGGGGTATCCTTCCATAGCCCAAGGGATCGTAGCTCACGAACGACGAGAGACGTACAACTTCCTACACCAGTTTGGATGCATCGCATCCCCACATCCGGCGAAACAAACTTTTCGTCGTCGTGGTGGTCAATGCACCCATTCACCGAGATTCGAATATTATCATCATCATCATTATGGGCGGCAGAGATACCCTCAATTCCACGGATACCACTCGCCATTACCGGCAGTGCATTCCAATCGACCATGAACACGTCCATGTCCCGTGGAGCGTCAGACCCTGATCTATTATGGTGGAGTCGCTGTCTCAAATCGGCAATAGTTAAAATATTCTCTTTCAACAACAACCCTTCACCATCCTCGCCTTCATTCGTCGAAAGTTTCAATGCCGTGACGAATTCAGGGCGTAATCTTCCTACTTCCCTACCCGATGGGACATCATGTAAATTGATGATGGGAACATACTGGCGAGAAACTGGATTTGCTCGCTGAAGTATTTTGCTGGAGCTCGCAAAATATGAAAATAAAATGGCGGAGATGATCGAGTCTAGGTCTGCCGAAGGGTTCCCAAGGACGTATGTTACCTGATTTTGTCGAGTCTGCGACAAGGCATAGTGAGAAGCCTGCTTAAGAAACCGAAGCAAGCTCATGGAAGATTGAGGATCCGCAGACATATTCTCGCTGATATCTTAATAGGATCCAGAGCCGAAGTTGATTGAAAAAACATGGCGCCCCCGCCCCGGCCATGAAGTCGAGTCACGTGGAGACCCTGGAAGACCTCCCGTCGCACTGAAATTATGGGAGAGTAAGGCGTGAGATATCAATGATTCCTCTAAGGATAGTAAATATTAATACAATCATCCCATCCATTTCGAATGATCTTAAATCAGCCACCGATATGACTACCGCCCGGTATTCCACCCACTAAGAACAATAACAATAAATAGCCGAGGATCAAATCCCATCACCACTAAATCTAAAGGCAAGGCAAATAGCCCCTGTCAAAGTACCTTGCTGAACTTGAAAATAATTAAAGCCTCGGTTCGTACAAAGGAAGACTGAGAGACACAAGCCGCAGATACCGAACTCCAAGTAATGAAGGGGTTTGCACCGTGCCGTAATCCTATCGCCGTACCATCCAAACAACACGAGACTCCATACCGGCAGATGGGCGCTTCGAATCTGCTGACCGTATAAGATAACACGACAACAAAGCCACTGGAACAATCAGAATAACAACATAATGAGTTATACATATTACATAGATAGAAAAAGAAACACGGGAGAATAAATAAAGCGACCCTAAATGGTTTGAAATATTGAGGAGTAGAGTATGAAGTCATGTATCAAATCAGCTGAGGAATTCATCTTCGAGAGCATTAGTCGCATCGTTCCCGCTTTGCCCGAGACCACCCATGAGACCATTCTCCTGGTGCGCATCGCCCAAACCGTCACGAGATTCGGACATTGAGCGATCCCTCGAGGAACAGTTCTGGGCAGTCTTAAGTGCCTCTAACGCCTCATTTGCGTGGCTAATTTCTTCAACAGGTTCCACATCCTGGTTTGTCAAATCTGCGAAAAGTTCATCCATATTTGGACGTGGACTGCTGCCGAAGGGATTGCTATGATCAATATCAACTCCAACGCCTGCATCATCTTTGGCAAGGTCGGGAGGCGATCGGGATCGCAACGGATTACTGCGATTAAAATCCGGAGGGCTAAACAGTGCCTGGTCAAGTCCAGGATGGCGGGTAGCTGGAGGAGTTGAGGCGAAAGCGGGGGAATGGGAATTGCCATCTTGAGGAAGAAAAGCTCCAGGACCAGTGGTATAGGGAGGACCACCGTCGCTGGTCGCCAGGCTAAATGGATTCGAACCCGAGAACGACGAAGGGGGTTGAGAGGCGGGAATCGGGGGAAGTGTAGGGGGAGTGGTCGTGTTTCCGGCAGAAATAGATCCATGTTCGCCCGTTGGAGTATCCGATCGTTTGAGTGGAGCTGGCTGCAAGGGTGTAGGTCTTCCAGTGTGAGGTTCGGTAGACTTCCTTTTAGGTGGGAACGTGTGATATTTCGTGCGAAGATGAAGAGGAAGATCTTCGGGTTTATCAATCCCAAGCTGAGCCATTAATTTCTGTTGCTTAGTGGGCCTGGGTTTCCGAGTAGAAAGGGATTGCTCTAAGATTGGTGGAGGATCAGGAGCAACCGGTGCCCAGCGATGGATTTCTTGACGGAAATAATTGGTCTCATATGCAAGTAGAACCTCGGCACCTTCGATTTTGCGAAGATAGAAGATCTGTGTTGGAACCTCCTCAGCAGTCGTGCACGTAGAGTTCGTAAACGATCGTATGAAATCTCGGAAAGCAGAGGCCTTATCGATGATCGCTTCCAGGATCTGCTCTTCATCAGGCTGGAATGGAAGGTCCGGAATCTCGGCTTGCCATTCGATAAGGTCTTCTAACTTAGGACGAGCAGCGTCGCGCGGGATCTTAACGCGCCAATCGCAAATTGGACAAGTGTAGCTGTCATACTCTTTCACCTTGCCGCGAGCGATCTTGAGGCATTTGCCGTGATACCTATAACCGGTCAGCATCCAGTGAATAAATACATAACCGAAATGAAGAACTTGAACCCACCATTCATGGCAAACCTCACACTCTATCATCAACCCTGCTTCCTGCTGTCGACAAATGCAAAAGACATCCTTCTTCTTTGAGCGCGTACCAACCCATGAATGAGATTCTCCGCCCTCGGGGGTTGTCTCACGCGATGCAGGTTCCACAGGAGGGCGACATCTATCCTCAAGATCGAAGCAGAAAGAGTTCTTCTTCTCGACATACTGCATGTGCATTTTGAGAATATGAAGCGGCGCATTCGCCTTCCCAAACAATTTCTTGCCTCTCCTCATCCAGTCTTCATGACGTTTCTGCTCCCGCTCGAGGTCAATGGTTCCAGTGGGTTTGCTGTTCAGTTGCGACAGCGACTCCATCAGTTCACGAACGTCTTTGTAATGCGGACGCATTCGGAAATCCGAACTCTTGCTCTTCTCATAGAAGTTGGAGATCTGTTTCTGGGCCTCCCGCTGCTTTGTTAAGATCGCCTCAACTGCGGCCAGCGTTTCAGGACTGACAGGGAATCTAGCAGCCTGCGCAGAAAGAGCCTCAAGTTGTTGATAATGGACAGCTTCAACAGACATAAGCTCTTTCGCTTTTGCTTCCCAAGTCTCACCATGGCGATATAAATCGCGGAAGTGAAGGAGATGTTCATTGGTTTCGGCCAATCCGAGTTCCTCGCCTTGCTTGATAAATTCACGACAATCGTCCAGTGTTTGATACTGCTCTCGTCTTCGCCGAGCTTCGTCATTCCATCTCATTTGCCTTAGAACACGCTCAAGCTTGTCAACTTCGGGCACATCGACATTGAAACTTTTACCAAGCTCCACGAGCTCCTCAACCTCCTGCGTCGAAGTGACGTGTGGATTGCAGAGAACTGCTTGTGCATCGCCCTGGAATTTCTGTATTTCAGCGACTTTCTCGCGCAAACTGACAATCTGTGGACAGTCGAACGAAAGGTTCTCCGCTTCAGCGAGAAGGGCATGAATCTTATCAATATTGCGCAATTCACGATCGCGTTCCTCCAGTTGCGCAGCTTTCGCAGCATTACCTCTTCGCCAAAGCTTTTCATTTTTGCGACGGTTTTGCTGCTTCCGAGTAATGTAATTATTTGCCTCTTCTACCCATTTGTCGCATCGCTGCACAAAAGTGGCGAGGTCTTGGAGACCAGGGAGATGGTACGGGATCTTCTCACCTTCGGAAAGCAGCGAATGCATCGCCTTTAAAGAAGGCTTCGGTTCGTCTTCCAGAATCCTCTCGAGTTTTTCTCCCCAAGCCTCAGGGATCCGCGCGCGATCCTCTACCTTTTGCGTGCATGCTGCAATATCTTCGTCAGACATCCGATATCGCAAACTATGATTCGGTCCAAGCAGTCGGCGAGAAACATCTTCGTCACAGCAGGTATGGTTATCCGCATGGAGTAGGCAGAGTACTTTTCCCTTCTTATGGCAGCGAAATTGTGTCAGATAGCTGTACACTTTGCAATAGGAGCATTGGTAATCTTCTTCTGGCAAATCGGCGTCTTCCACCACAAGCTTGAAGTCCTCATGTCCTTCACTTTTGTTCTCGTCGGAACCTCTAGGTTCAATCCGTTGCTTCAACTCCTTCTGGCGCGCTAGGAGCTTTGCACGTTGCTCTAACTCTCGATCACACATTCTTCGTAATGCGGGGCCCAGCCACTTAGCTGTTTTTATCGACGTATCCCTAGCGGCGGCCGTGAGTAATAATTCATCATGCGAGAAGCAAGGTTGACGTCTGAACTCTCGAAGACGAGCGACACCGGCTTGACCGAGAGGTTCCCAATCGGCAGGCGCAAAATTGACCGCTTCATTGAAGTTGAATCCGTGGTTGAAACCAGCATGATAAGCCTGGGGGAACGTGATTACAAATTGACCTGCTCGTTGGTCAAGGGCATACACATTAACCCCAGCTTTTTTCAGCTGATCTGGCGGAAGAAGTGTAACCAGCTGGAATAGGAGATCAGGCTGGGTCTCAAAAAGCTCTGGGACAGCTTGGCGCATGGCTTCCTCGAATGCTTCAGCATCTTCGCCGGGGATGCCATACCAGGTCTTGGTCGCGCCGAAATGCTGGTAATTGGCGGAGTAGGAGTAATGATCCTCGTTATGCCAGCAGAATGTCGAGAAACACATCCCAACATATACCCAGGGCACGGTCATTCCCGACACGTCTGATTTAATATGACGGAAGAGTGACTCGCCATGCAGCGGCAGGACGTTCAGATTCCAAGGATCAACAGAATATGGATCCAACGGGTTTCTCTCGACGGTAGGAAAGCCACTTCCATGAGTTGTAGAGTGGATATCCGCCCCATACTCAACTTCCACCGTTTCAGTAAGACTTTCCACGAGTCTCCAGAATTCTCGCTCAACGTCGTCTTCTGTCTCGCGACGATGAGCGTTAAGCACTGGATCGAATGGCATCTTCCCAGAAAAATAGTTCCTTTTGAACGCATCCGCCTTTTCTTGGAACTGTTTTAAAGAGTATATTCCGCCTTCTTCAAAGCCATATTCGCCCGTCCCAACAAGGCATTTCGGGCAATGCCAATCGTAGTTGGGAGCATTGCTAAGAGGGGGATCGAGACAGTGCATATGGTATCCGTTATCGCAACCGTCACAGAGGAGAATCGAAGGGCGATCGTTGCTTTTCCCGCAAGTTTCACATTTCTGAATGCGAAAAGTCGAGTTAGCATGTTTACACAACAAAAATTTTCCCTTGGATTATCGGGTGTGCTTACATCGCCGGTTTTTCTATTCCCACCTTTGGGACGAGATTGGGGAGGAGCGGGGCGTAGTAAGCTCATATTTGACCCCGACACTGTCGGAACAACATCTTAAAGCACGTTAACAGTCAGCTGCGGGATATTCATAATCAAGAGAATGCATACCTTTCTTGAGACGCTTGCTCCGCCGGCCATTCGCACCATCGTCTCCATTTTCCGCCTGCGGAGTACCAGCGGCGCTCTCATTGCCCAGCGCCCGTTTCAACGGATAAGAATCATGGCCATTAACTGCAGAGACACGACGAGATTCCGAGTTCTTCGAGACAGTACCGGTATCCGGAGCTCGAGTTGTCGTGCTTTCAGCTCCTTGGTCGGTTTCCTTTTTCACGACCGATGGCCCATTATTAATAGGGACAAAGGAAGTTGTTTTGGGGATACCATTCGCAGGGGCGTTCACGGCGGTAAAGCCAACTGTTATAGGCCGAATCGAGGCTGGTTCGGGAGGCGGAGCTGATTTTTCTGATTTTTCCGATTTTTCCGACTTTTCCGAGCTTTTACTGCGTTCTAAGGAAGAATTAAGTGCCGCGGATGCTTTTACCGTTGATGACTTGCTACTAGCTCCTGTTGTTCCGTTTACATTCGAGGAAACCTTCTTATTTGGGGGAGACGCCTTCGGAGAGGGAGTAAAAGGACCGCCGTGCTCGATTTCTAGCTGCTGCTGAACGCCCGGCTTTGCGAGAAGGAGGTAGTTTTCGTATGGTTGTAACCAACGCTGATAGGAATTCTTGAGAGACGTGGATAACGACGACATAATCTTTCCGCTATAACCTAAGTCGCGGCCAATTTCCGCCCACTTCTTCAGTTTGCAGACCTGGTCGAAGCCGCCTCGAACTTCGACAGCCTTTTTCAATTTGTAAAGATCAAGCGGGCGCTTGTCAACACTCGGGAAACGCGCTAACGTCGTGCCGTGCTGTCTATGGAACTTCGTTAACTGATCTAGGTAGTTCAGATTCGCTCGAGTTCCTTCCTCACTGTTAGCCTAAGGTCCGAGAGTCGGCTGGGGTTCACGATCCATTGTCTGCATACATACCTCCCTCAACTGAATTAAGTTCTTGTCTACGGGTTCGAAAATGGAAGCGCTGCAGAGGATAGTTAGCGTCACTGAGTTCATCGCGCATCGCAAAGGCTGCAGCTGAGTGAAAGCCTCTGAAATTTCTTTTCTTGTTCCTATTCTTCAAGTGCATTCATACCTCGGTATCAATAGCAAACGGCGGATCCCAGCTATCAGGAGGAATGATCTTGCAAATGCCATACTTCTTTCCTTCGGGTGCAATCTTCCGAATATATTCCATGGGATCCTTAAACTCCTCCTCGGTAGGCCGGAAGGTAGGGGCTTCTGGCAGGCCATGCGGTCTGACTCGTTTTACGGGTTCTCTAACAGCGCTCTGATGACCTCGGCGTTCGACGGTAGAAAGATCCAAGGGCGCAGCCCTTCGAGCGCTGAGCGGAACATTGGGGGCGTAAGGGTGATGGGAGGAATTCGCGATCCGGGCAGAGGAGCGGCTGGTCGATTGGGGATGCTGCGCGGCAGCATTGCCTCCCGTTGACGGCGGAGCCACCATGTCTAAGGTGGTGGGAAGTGCGAGGCGGAGAGGATCAGTGGAGTGTCACGCCTAAGGAGAAGCCCAAGCCGGATGCGAACAACGCATTGGCAGAGTGAGTTTTGGGCGGAACGGAAGAGGAGTAATTGGGGAGAAACAGGTACTCAGCAGGGGAGCAGAATACGGCAGACGAGTTGGATGGAGGACACCAGACGGGGAGAGGCGAGAGTTCGCGGTGAGAAGGCCGGAGCGAGCGAGATCAGCCGAAACGTCGAGGTGATCGGAGGGAAGCGAAGAATACCTCATCAATGGATGAAAATGGGGAGGAGCGATATTAGCCAACCTTGGGTGGAGCCTTCCATAACGGTACGGTATCTTACGCGCTGGTGATGTATTGAAAATTTAGCCAGCTGGTCACGTACGGTAACTACGGTAATAATGCCTTGTCTCGTCCACGGATGCATCGCCGCCACTGCGTCTCCATCTTTGCCATCCTCCAGCGTGCTCGGGGAATAATTACTTCGCGGTGGCAGTAGCAAAGTGTGAAATTTCTACGGATGCCAGTGCAGATGGATGTGCTGGGAGGATCTTCATCTCCGTGCAAAGTTTTCTTGGGGGTTCGGTGTGGTAACAGTTTCAGCGAACTCCATGATGACGCTGCTCTCTTGAGCTTATCTGGCCTGAATGGCCTTCAGAGCGCGCACAGCCGGGCAACCAGCCCTGGCTCACCAAAAACCTCTCTTGAAAGTAGACATAGATGCAATACCACGCGCACCAAAGTTTATCCAAAGCATCATAGGCACTCAGCTGGCTTCGAGAAAGAGTGCGGATTTCCTATCCAAGCCCTTCTCTTGCCATGTCAGCGGTCACCTCTTCCACCCATTCATTATCAATATCAACATCTCCCACCTTAAAGTGACTAACTTCCTTATTGTTCTCCGTGCACCCTGGCATGCAAGGTTGCTTTCAACATTGATGCCTGCAGAGTACCACCCTGGAGCTGCTAGTTATGTATGTGCCGAAGATAAGTACCTAGCTCAAGGTAACGATATACCCAGTAGCTACAGTATAACTTATAGGCTTATCCGTCCGCGATCCTTGGACAGGTTCTGCCGCTGGCGTGTCAAAGCAAGAGTAGGAGAGAAATTGAAATAGACTGTTCAGGGGAGAAACCTGTGTTCAGAGAGGGCAAAAAAAAGCTCCGAGGCATAGAGGCTGAGGATTGTGAATATCAAATGCCAGCGAACGCCGTAAAATTACCTACCATCCGAGAGTGGTTTCCACAGAGCCAAGTCTGATTGACCGGGTAACGAACAGATCATTGACGTGGTTCGTGTTGAATTGATAACCTGCATAAATGCGCAGCTGGTTCTGCTGAGCTTGTATGATTAGGCGGGAAGAGGGGGAAAAAGAAAAAGAAAAAGAAAAAGAAAAAGAAAAAGAAGGAAAGCAAGCACAATCCGATATTCCATAGCAATGGCGTCAGTGGTTTTCCTCGCTCTTCTTGGAGCTGCGGACGAAGAAGCTCCAGGCTAAAAAAAAAAATAGCGGAACACCCGACTTCCCACAGATCCCGCGAAAGTACGATACAGCCCTTGGGTGTGACGTAAGTAACCCGGTATGGGGCGGTATTTGGCGCTTAGGGTGTGACCTGAGTCCCCCGTCATCCTGGCACCCTTCGAACGATTTCGTCGATCCAGGCACCTCTTGGCGACAAGCCGCCGTCTGGTCTTCGCTCAGAGCCGGGGCGGAGGGCCCTTCAAGAGGTGCCAGATCGAGCTTGGGAGAAACTATGAGAGGTAACCTAGAGGGATATTCTCGTGGTTTGATAGAAGTGCAGCAGGAGGACCTGATAATTTGGGGAAATGAGCGCGAATGCCGCTCTCTTGCAGATACGGCGTACATGCTGTCATCATACGACTGAGGCTACTGTGCTTGCAGCCAATGTCAATCGAGATCCCAGGGACGGAGTAACAGGCGGCGAGAGACTGTGTTGCAAGACCTCAAAGGCTCGCTGTTTTTAAGCTGCCATCGCCATCCATGCATCATTTCCGGACATGGAAATGTAATGCGGCATTCTGTGGCATTCTCCTCCATTCTCCGTCCTCTACCCCAGCAGCTGTTCGTCAACACAGATAATCCTCTTCTCTGCATGCTTTTATCGGCCAAAGGCGCAGTTAAGGTTGGGAGTGGCTTCCAGGAGACCGGGAATTGGCAAAACTGATGTTCCGTCCACTGTCCAATCAGGATCCTTGATGGATGGCCGTGCTGCTTTTGTTTATCGCAGCAGCTTGCTTGTTATCACCGACAATCACATACCTAGGGCTACATGGTTAATTTCAAAAGCATTTATCACTCTGTGGGAGGACTTGGTTAATCAAGCTGTGTAACTATTTGCTGTGACTGAGTCATACCAAAGATTTTGAAGACATTTGATGCGCACATCTCAAGGTGGATGAGACATGCCAGGAGCGCACAATACCAGTCCTCACTGATTAGATCCACTGGCAACATAAAGTATCCTGCCTCTAGCATTGTTGAAAACATCTAAGATCAAACTGGGAATGTATTCGGAGCCTGATTCAATGGGACATACACCCTCATACGAACCACCATCCCAGGAGGCTGTCAAACCGATACCAGCATTCTATTGCGCCTACTTGCTGCGGTCAACTGTCAGACACGCCAGTCTCTATATTGGATCTACCCCCAACCCTGCAAGGAGGCTGGCACAACACAACGGCCTCATACAAGGCGGCGCCAAAAGGACGCATAAAGTCTCCCTCAGGCCATGGGAGATGGTCATGCTCGTGAGCGGCTTTATGAGTAGAACGGCGGCACTGCAATTCGAGTGAGTTTGTTGCTTTCCCTCTTGCGAGGGGATTTTCCTCCGTCTCTCAGTCTGGCAAATACATGATCTGAAACATACTCATCTGATCTACTTGGTATCTTTATCTAGGTGGGCATGGCAACATACACCAAGTTCTCGTCATGCCGACCACGAAGATGAATCATCGCAGCCTCCTGTGCGGATATATCCCCGTTCAGAAAGGGGGGCCAAGCGCTCCTCTCGTCCTCGCTCATCTCTGAAAAGCATCCTGAAATCCTTACATCTCTTATTACGCTCGCCCTACTTTTCTGTCTGGCCACTAGAAGTCCACTTCTTCTCAGCCGAGATTTATCGTGCATGGCAGGGTTGTTGCCAGCTGCTAGACAATTTAATTCCAGACTCCATCAATGTCGTCGTGGACCAATATATCGAAAAACAACGAGACGGGACTAAACCATTCGATTCTCTCGACATCAAAAATGCAAAGCTCAAAAATTACTTTGCCAAGGCTGAGTTTCTTCTTGATAAGCACGTTATCCCTTGTGGCATTTGCAACCAAAAGCTGAATCTGGAAGACGACCTGATAGCCATCTGCCCGCACGAACAATGCAATTGCGCATCCCACATACTTTGTCTCTCATCTAAGTTCCTTGAGATTGGGAATGCGCCAAACAGAATAATTCCCATGAACGGGAAATGTCCGAGCTGTAGTTCAATCATAGAATGGTCCATCTTAATGAAAGAGATGACTCTGAGGATACGGGGCAAAAGGACTGAGAAGAAAAGTCGTTCTGGAAGGCTAAAAAGAAATGGAGGTGTTCCCTTCATAGACTCAGCTTACCCCGGTTCAACGGGATCCCGGGATAAGTTCTCTGATTTCGACGCGACCGACAAGTTCGACCAAAGTGAAGATAGCTGGGGCCCAAAGCTACGCGTTATTGAAGAAGAGCTTGGGCTGCTGACTCTTGAATCGCCGGAAAAAAGGTGTTCCTAGGTCAAGACGCACCAATCTCAACGGTACGTCTATGCGAGGCTGAAAAGCGGCGACAAATGATGATGCAGAATGGGAAGATGTAATAACCATTGACCGAGTATCGTCATTTCGAGAGAACTGGGTGTTGTTCAAAAGGGCATGTGGCCTAGTTGCCTCAATGGACCTTCGATGGAATCAACCGCAGCTAGCACCTGTGCAGAGATATCTCGTGCAACTTGTTCCTTGGATTGATTTGCATCAATTATGCGCATCTCCTCGTTGTTTTCCATTCCCTGCATCGACTTGAAAAGCTCGCCAACCCGCAGCTGGAGAGTGACATTCTCGTATCTTTCCAAGCCGTAGCCGCCTCTGCTTTCAGCTTTTTCTGGGGATATATTGAGAAAGAACCACAAATCCGGCCGGGGTAGCCCAATCTCAGATTGCCACGCCCACTCCAGTGACAGCTCCCTGTTATTTTTTGCAGCGGAATAGACGGCGCCAGAGTAAGAATAGCGGTCAATGACTATAGATATGCCATTGGAGATATCCTGGCGAATCTGAGACGCTAACTCCCACCTATTGGCGGAGAAAAGCAGATGAATAGCATGGTCATCCAATTGAGTCTCGCCTCGCAGGTAGCCGTCAATGATTTTGCCGATCGAAGTTGTTCTATCTACAACATCGTTAGACGGAGTTCAATGTTTAGAGGCGAAAGGGATGTGCACCTGGGAAACGAATGTATTTCGTCTCATGGCCCTTTTCACGGAGCTTGTCGACCAATATCGCGCATTGGGTTGACTTGCCCGCCCTATCAAGCCCCTCAATGACAATAAGTGCACCTCGGGCCATCTTACGATCGGCATGAGCTACGGCAGCATCTGAACTCATTGTTGGAATCAAGTCCCTTTTTTTATAATATATACTTCCTAGCGAAAGAAACGGCGTAGCTATTCGCGACTCAACGCGAAACGGTCCATGTTGACTCTGACCGGGGTGAGGCAGTGGGGAGCTTTGCGACGGCTTTGTTTGCTCCGTTTGCTTGGGGCCGAAGCTCATTTGTGAACGGACTGCCCCTGTTCATTCCCGGTGTGATGGACTGAGAAGCGGCGCTGCTTCCACTCTATTTCCCTTGGGTCAAATTTTGAGCAATTAATGAACAGCTCCATCAATTTTCCTTGGTTGAAGCTAGCAGCCGTTTTTCTTTCCCCTTCATTATCTGGAGAAGCGATATAAAGTTGCTGACTCAGCCATCACCTGGCCATCCGCCGTGCTCAGACGCGCAAATCGATATTCACGAACTTTCGTGTGTCGCAAGAAGCCTGCAGAGCGGCCAAGATGAATTCTAACTCACCTAACAATTTAGCCGATGAAATGCACGGATTCACTCTCTTGAATTCCGCTCCCTCGATTCTCGCTCCGCGCCTCGGGCGTTTGTGTCTCAAAGGACGAAAACCAATCCAGACCCCTCACTATGTCCCAATTACCTCCCGAGGTGCCGTCCCGCATGTGTCCCATGACACGATGCGAGATCATATGTCCGTTCAGAGTCTATATGCTGGGCTGGAAGATTGTATGTCCCTCTCGTGAACCGTCACTGGCTCCCGTGCTAATCCTTCTGCTCTCTGGAGCAGCCCAGTCATTGAACGAGGCCCACGAGTAACTCCCCCCGTCTATCAGACCCCGGCACAGCAATCTGAATCTGCTTTACGGAACTTTTTATGCCATCAAGACGACATCCTTCTGATTTTAGGTCCACGAAGAATTCCACCTATCGCTTGCACGACACCAAATAGTTCAAATTCTATTACGATATTCACCTCTGTCGGATTTCGTCAGCTTGAAGACGGAGAATATGCCAAAGCTATCGAGAAGTTACAGCCGGATTTTGCGGTCGGTCTAGCAGATCTCGTCCTGACGCAGCCACCGGGTGTCAAGAGGCGGGAACGTATGGTGGACAGAACTCATGCATGGACTAGGGACACAATTGACCGGCTGTATGGCGCCGGAAACACGTCCGGGGTGTCAAACAAATCACTTTTCCTTGCTCCCCTACTCCCCCTGGAGAAGGAATTGCAGCTCTTATATGTGCAGGATCTAGAAGATGAGATGAAGGATTCGATTTCTGGCTTCGCTCTCTTTGATGGATCAACAGTCGAGGCTGTCCCCGATTCCATGTCGCACCTTGTCCGAATGTTTTTCGGAAACCCTCACACGCCTCATAAGGTCTTGAGGGAGATCTCTTTGGGGATTGACCTTACAACAATACCATTTATCGGAACTGCGTCCGACGCAGGTTTAGCATTCGATTTCACCTTTCCTCAGCCGCCCACAGAGAATAGCAAAAGGAATTTACCTTTGGCGTTCGATATGTGGTTATCGAGCCATGCAGTTGATACTGAGCCATTAAAACCCGGCTGTCAATGCTATACCTGCAAGAATCACCACCGTGCATATATCCAGCATTTGCTCAATGCAAAAGAAATGCTTGCATGGACGTTGCTGCAGATCCATAATCATCACGTCATGGATCAGTTTTTCGCTGCGGTCAGAGGAAGCATTTGGAACGGGACATTTGCCCAAGATGTGGAAACATTTGAACGGGCTTACGCCCCGGAATTCCCTGAGCAGACAGGTCAGGGTCCAAGGTATGACATCCCATCTTCCCGCTTTAAAGGGACAGTGTAATTGATAGCATCTTAGAATAAGAGGCTATCAAGCCAAGTCAGAACATGGGGCTTCAAAAAGGAATCCAAGGGCCTATGGACGCCTCGACGACCATGCACAGAAACTCATGGAAGCAGAGTCATCCGTACCTACGCCAGATGTGGGAGCAGACGAGCTCCAGGCACACGGATTTGCTGAGAAATCAGAATAATCCACCCAGCGGCGGACGGGGTTTGGTGCCACTATACCACCACTCGCGTAGACGATGTCTAACTTCGTGTGGTGAACCGCGATATACATCGAATGTCTTCTACCTCCGAAATCGGATGCCCCTTTTTTTTTTAGAGAAAAATGCTTGAATGGGCTAGCTATAGCTGGAGGGTGAGGTAGGACAAATATAGAGCTACACGCCCCAAGCGTGCATAGGGCAAGTTCACATACCAAATTTCACTTTGGGAAACTTGGACAAACATTTTGTTATGACTATCGCCCTGATCCGAGCTCTTCATATCCTTAGACTGCAGAGAATGAGCTATCTCGCATGTTGCGCAAGTAAAGACCCCGAGCTCAGCATGCCGAGTGTGCTTCTCTGAACTCGATAGATAGACCAATTAGTCCGTTTCCCGCTCATCAGAAGCTTGAAATTGACAAGTCTGACCAGTTAGTGAATGGGCATGCTACGGTAGCTCCTATTCTTTTCCGGAGTATAGAGTATTAAGGGAAGACTTTGCTTGCTGAAGCAGAAACATGGGTAGCTCGCGGTTGATCAGCGTAACGGCGTACGGATTGCAATCCCTCCGAGACCATGCAGCAAGCAAACTTTTGAAGCCCACGGCAGAGATGACCCGCTCCTAGCCCTTTCAAAGCTTTTCCGGAACCAAGATGCCAGATGCGCCATTGCTGCAGCCCGATAGCTGGACTGGATGCACTCCGCTGATCAGCGCTGAAGCGGCGGCATGCGTCAGATGAAAATCTTCTTCCGAGAAACTCCAACGGGAGAGCATACCTAACCGCCTACCCCGTACAAGGCATTCCTCCGCAAGTAATCCCTCTAGGTTGCCCCCCAGGATATGCACAGTTTCCTCTCGACTCTGCTTTTCTTGCTTCCCCACAAATCACCACTATCGATGCCGCATAATTACAGATCCCGACTTTATCTTCCTCCATGCTCTGTGGATAAGAGAGAGATGGGCCCCTTTGAGTTTCACAAAGGGGTGTCGATCACCAGCCCATCACGCTACCTTGGCATGATGGTTACCCCGTCGTGAACCATGGTTTCTCTGCTAGCGACTGCAGATTCCAGAGATATTATATAGTTTTGGGATGCATGTACGGAGTACGGAGTAGTTTACAACCGGGAAGCATTCTTTCTCTTTTCCTCTAGATCCCATCTGGAAGAGCTAGGCAGCGACCGGTATAAAAGAGAAATGTCTTCCTTTGAAAAGGAGCACCCCCCCCCCCCCCCCCCCCCCCCTTTTTTTTTTTTTTTTTTTGTTGTTATCTTTTGCCTGGATTGCCTCCCATCCTGATCGTTCCTCTCGCTGCATTGTTCTATGTTTGTTTGATTGTTTAATGCAGAGTAGGGTATTCGAGAGAAACGGCGACATATAGGAAGAAGGGCGACCTCCGAGAAAACATGGACGATGGAAGAGTGGAGCTTGAAGGAATAGATGTGGGAGAGACAAACGAGCTTGCCATTGAGCAGTATAGGGCTGAAATTGAAAGGTAGGCGATCCCAGATCCTTTATTATTTTCCAAGCGCGGTTATTGTCAGTGTCTCTGATTTGAACTGGTGATAGAAAGCTTGTTCGTCGGCAAGATATGGTCATTATGCCTCAGATGGTCACCCTTTACCTCCTGGTTTGTCCACAATCCCCATGTGCACTCTGGCATCGCTGACCATCAGCTGCGAACAACTAGGCGTACCTTGACCGAAGCAACCTCGGAAATGCCAAACTCCAAGGCTTGGTTGAAGATGTCCTAAACGGGAATGATGATGACTACGGCTGGGCAGCGAGCATATTCTATTTCGGATAGTTAGTCTTTGGGCCCGAGGTTTCAAGATACTCTCATGTAATGCTAATCTTTGCCAGCGTCATGTTCGCAATACCTTTTACTCTTTATGGCAAAAGGTTTCATCCCTCCAGGTTTATGTTTGTTTGCGTCCTGGGATGGGGTGTATCTGCGTCCGCCGCCGCCGGTGCCTTTAATTTTGCCGGCCTTGCAAGTTCTCGATTCTGCATAGGTTTATTTGAAGTGAGACACCCCAGATTTTGTCGAACAACTTATGTATTCAACTGCATCTAGGCAGGATTTGCGCCGAGTGCTGTTTTCTATTTTACGCTTTGGTACACGCGCAGCGAAGTAGCGTTTCGTACTTCCATTTTCGTGGGGATGGCTGCCCTGTCAGGGGCATTCGGCGGGCTGATCGCTTATGGGATTTCACTGATCAAAACTCACTTCGCACGCTGGCGAGTTCTGTTTCTCGTGGAAGGCCTGCCAACCATTATTTTCGCTTTTGTGATTCTATTGTTTCTGCCTGATCGACCAGAAACCGCCAATCTTTTCAGCAACGAAGAAGAACGTGCGGTATCCATTGAGCGAATGAATCGGGGTCAAGCCAGTGAGGGGCACAATGTGCTAGTCAAGAGGCACGTTGTGTCAGGTTTCACAGACTGGAAAGTGCATGCATGTGCCCTTGTCAAGATGGGACATGATGCAGGCCTTGCAACCATTTCGATCTTTTTGCCAAACATCCTCAAGTCACTTGGATATACAAATACCCAGGCCCAGTACATGACTATTGGTCCGTATCTCGTCGCGTGGGTTGTGATGCTTGGGGTGTGTTTCATCTCGGACAAGCGGAGAACCCGTGGACCGTTCCTCATCGGTGCCACCATGGTGTCGATAATAGGGACGGCTCTCATAGTTTCCTTTCCTGCCGAAGAAAATCCCCAAATCGCACTTGTTGGGGTCTTCTTCATGGTGGCTGGCATCTTTCCATGCATCCCGTTGGGAATACAATGGGCGACGGACAATGCTGGCGCCGAATCAAAGAAGATAACAGCAATTTGCATCCTTGTAGTCGCGGGCCACTGCTGGAGCATCCTTGCTAGCAAAAGTTTTCCAGATCGGGAGGGGCCCGATTACGTCCGTGGGTATAGCATTGTGCTGGCGTTCTTGGGACTTAGCTGTATTATGTCTATCGTCCTGTCCGTTCGCCATCGAATTGAAAACGCGCGACGAGACAAGAAATACGGAAAGCCGAACCCAATTATGCCGGTTGATACAGCGGAAAAGGCGGACAAAGCTCCAATGTTCCGCTACATCATCTAGCCTGCAGGGACACTGCACGATGCACAGCATGAGGACAGATGTATGTAATGACAAAAATAACAAATGTCTGGCTTCAAGTCGTTAGAAATTATTCCCCCTTTTCAGCGTATAAGTACTAGATGAATCCTTTCGGTGGAGGTGTCAGCTTGCATCTTGAATTGTCACGACGTCAACTGGTTTCTCGCCGCCAGTGCCAAAAATCCATTGACGTTCCGACATCGGAGACGTTCCCAGTGTCCAGCATACCACGTATTCCTGTGAACTATCTCGTACGATGCGCTACAATCGCCCAAACGGGAGTAGAGATCAAGTTTTAGTCCTGGAGACCCTTAAAATTGACTGAAGCAGAACTGCAGCTGCATTGATTTGAAATCATGTCCAAGCCAACCGTCAACTCTCACCCATATCCATTCTCTTTTAATCCAACCCCCATCATCAATCCCCACAGCAACAGCAACAGGGCTACGGATCTCATAGTCCAAATTCCCAATGTTCGTGGCCGGATTCCTTCTTTTCAGGCATCTCGCCTCCGGTCAATGATCAATGAGGCGCACGCCGATCCATCTAAAATTGTTGCTCAAGTGTGCAGCTACGACGGTTTGAGTTCTCGACTCGTGGAAGAAGCCGGATTTCCCGTCGTCTTCCTTGGCGGGTTCGCAATGGCATCATCCTATGGACTGCCTGATACTGGATATATCGCTTTTCAAGAAGCAGTTGGGAAAATACAGGAGGTCGTGAGACAGGTCAGTGTGCCTGTGCTTGTGGATGGTGATACTGGATATGGAAGCCCGATGAATGTTCGAAGGACCGTTGAAGGGTATGTAAGGCCGTCAGATCAACAGACGCCTTCTAAGTCTTCTCTCGATCTTCCCCAGAGGTTGAACTGAGCCAGTGAATTGATCCTTCGAGTACCGCAGGTTCGCATTAGCTGGAGCGGCAGGCGTAATGATAGAGGACCAAACGTGGCCAAAGCGTAAGCAAAACAGATATCATTTCGCTGCCTCATTCCACTCTTCATTGTTCAGCCGTTTTATTGATATCTACCTTAGGTTGTGGCCATACCAAGGGCAAGTCCGTCGTCACCCGCGACGAAGCATACGCCCGCATCCAAGCCGCAGTTGACGCACGCAACTCAGGACTGGACATCTTTATCCTAGCTCGAACCGATAGTTTCATACACGGCTACGATGAAGCGCTTGCCAGAGCGCGTAAATTCAAGGAGATCGGTGCAGATTGCATTTTCCTGGAAGCTCCCCCAGACCGCGCCAGCATGCAAAGATTCCTCCAGGAACTGGAGTTTCCTTGTTTCGCTAATATTATTGAAGGGGGAAAGACCGAGAATCTATCTGCTAAGGAGCTGGGAGAGTTGGGATACGCTGCTGTCACGTATCCATGGACTCTGGTTGCAGCGAAGCTGAGGAGCATCAGAGAAACGTTGGAAAACTTGAAGGCATCCTTTTTGGTTGGGAAACCAGAGCAAATATTGTCGTATGGCGAAGTTTGTGAGGGGCTTGGTTTCGATAAGTACCATGAGATGGAAGAAAAGTACCAATATGAGGGCTCTACCACTGGCAGCCGAGGATATCAGTGGGATAGGTAACTTAAAGAATAGTCGACTGTTGACTTTGAGGCTTTGAAGTTAGATGACGTCCGTAAGCAAATAGTGGTCGGTATATCTACCAGTCAATGGATGCATGGGTTCTCGCAAAACATGAATATGATAAATTCTTTTTATGAAATCTCAGCAAGAAATCCTCAGTATATCCCGATTCCCATGCCATACCACACCATACACCCCGTGTCCACAAGCGATTATTTCCAAGTTGTGAGCTCAAAAAAGCCGAAAGATTCTAGGATTGCAGGGAGACATTCTCACCAGCGAGCACTTTCCACAAAAGCTTTCCTTCTTCCATAACATCTTTGCCAGGGTCACCCCCGGCACCAAAACGCTGGCCAATAACACAAACCAGCCATGTGTCTTCCTTCACCCGGTTCAATAACTTTTCAGTAGGACTGCCCCGGGGAAAGATTCGTCTCCATTCATCCCATATACGGAATGCCTCTTCTCCCCATGCCCGGAAGCTAACTTCCTCGATAATGGTAGGTGTAATGATCTCCTTTCCGCGGAAAACACCCCAAGTTACCGCGTTAACTCCGCCGGAATTCGAAGATGGAAAACTATCCATATCATCGAAAACGGCATCGACAGGTCCGGTAGGAACCGGTATCGAAGAAGATGTAGATGATTCGAAATCACCAGCTGCATTTGTCGCAAACCACGCAAATTCATCATGGCCATAGCGTTGAAGTAGCGGTTTTAAATGTGAGCGATAGTCATCCTTAGAGCAGAAGAACTCCACGAATGCCTTCTGAAAAACAAAACCCTCACCAGGCGGACCCCAGCCAAAGATGGGATGATCGCTGCGAACTCCGCTGACTGCAGGCTGCGATGCAAGGGTCCACCAACCTCGCTTTTCTATCAGGCTAAGTAAGTATGGACGAATGGTGATTGTTTCCGGGCTTAAACCACCTGTTTCCTCTGCGGCGCCTCCTTCAGACCAGGGGACTGCGTGCAATCCACCGGAAACGTGCTGCCTAAATATGTTATTTATATCTTCGCGGGTAGTCGGGTATCCCCATAATCGACGGGCAACATTTGCTGTCACATGTAAGGACGGACCGTATCCATCGATCTCACCAAACGCAGGTGAGCGAGCATCACCCCAACGACCGTTGGGAAAGTCATCCCAAGTGGCTTCACGGCCAAGTGCTCCCATCCCTTCAGAGATTTGTAGGGCTGTATTGCGATGAGGAGGGTTAAGAGCAGGCATACCAGCGCCCTGAGCGGATGCTTCATGTGTGATAGAGCTTTGGGAGGATATATCAGCTCTATCAACAATTACGCGGTTATGCGGTTGAGAATTTAGAGATGACGCTCGGCGCCTTGATATTAAGGGGGGTTTGTCTGCCGCTGTACCAAGTCCGTTTTGCAAGTTTCCGGAGGCGAAGACTGAATCTGAATCTGTGTCACTTGAAGCCTCCGATGATGGTGGTATCAGGTTACATCGCTCAAGGATAAAAGACACAGACTTCTCCAGATTCAGCGTATAAAAATGCAGGCCTCGGGGCCCTGTGCCTGGAATCGTTTTAATTCCTTCAACCAACTCGCTCAGAATGTCAACGCCGACTTTCTTAACTGCTTCGTCGTCCTTTTTACATGCCTCAATTCGAGATAACATTTCTGGTGGGACGCGGACGTGGCTTAGTTTCGTGATTCTGGTTAGCCTCGGGTAGCTCTGAATGGGCATCAAGCCAGGAATAATCGGAATGGTCTTGAACACTCCAGATTCATGATTCCGCAGCATTGACTCAAATCTTTTATATGCCTCCAGATCGTAGGTCAATTGTGTCATGATAAAATCGGCTCCCGCTTTAGTTTTCTCAACCAAATAAGGGAGGTCCCTGACGGGATCTTGAACACCAGGATGAGACTCATCGGAATGACCTTCTGGATAAGCCGCCACGCCTATGCAGAAGTAATCACTGTGCTTCTTGCGGATATACCGCACTAGATCTACCGCGTATGTAAACTCCTTGTTGCTATCGTCTTCTCCATCAAGGTTGTACTCGTCACTCCTGGGTGGATCACCCCGCAGCGCCAGAATATTCCGGATGCCTAGAGCTTTTGCTTCATCCAGTGCGCTATCGATTAGAGTCCTGTTCATATTGGTGCATGTCAGGTGCAGGCATGTGGTTAAACCCAATTGTCTCTGGCATATTTCCGCAAGTTCAAGGGACTTGGTAGCCGTGGTTCCTCCAGCACCCCATGTCACGGTCACAAAAAGCGGTCGAAGGGCCTGGGACATACGCTCTAATCGGGCTTGGAGGTTTGCTGAGCCCTGGAAAGGCGCTGCAGTTAGCTAGTTGGGCAAAAAGCGGCCGGGTTGCGGGGCTGAGGTTCACAAACGCACCATCTGCGTTTTCGGAGGGAAGAACTCCAGAGAAAAGTAGTCTGCATCTTCGGGAAGAGCAGCGATCTTATTCGAGATCTTTTCCATGATCAAATTGTTTATTCCTAGTGTCGAGTGTGTGATAGCAGTCAACAACAAGGTCGGTTAGTGCGGGGTGTTGGAGGGAAGATTCGCTGGAGAGCTTTGGGGAGAGAGGTCAGCGATTGATCTCATAGTTACACATAACTAACTAATGTGGCTGCAAAGTAGAAGTGAAAAATGAAGAAAATTGGGTAGACTGACAAAGATTGAGGATGCTTTCACATCAATCTAAACAAGGCCTTCTCACTAGTATACATATGCACTCCCTGTCACTGGATTAATAGCGTAGTTGGTGTTATTACTCCGTACAGAGCTCTCCATCTAGTTAGTTACAGAGTCCCGAGCGCAGAGCCAACGGACTCCCAGCCAGCCTGCGTGCAGTTGATTTGGTTGGTTAACTTACCAACAAACATTCACCAAGCTTAGGTAACTAGTTAACTAACTTAGTTTCTCCATAGTTACTCTGGGGTACGGAGTACATACATATCTAACTGTGTACCTACCGAGTTACAAGTACTCTGTGCGCCATACTTCCAGCTTCTACGGAGTCCTCCATAACTGACTTACTAGTTGGTTAGTGGGCAAGGATTTCATAGCCTATTTCCAATTACTCCCATAAGCTATCTAGTTTAGCACCTCTGAGGTGTGTGCTAGATTTCCAAGGATCCAATGAAAGTGCGCGTGTTTATAATGACTCCGGGCTCCATAATGTCTCCTGATGATTCAAACAAGGCTTAGGATACAACCAAACATTGCAAGAAAAAAGACTTGACTGGAAGCAATCTCTGAATGAAATGAAGCACAAAGCACATCTGCTTCTAAGCTACTCCCTGCTTAGCACCGCGCGCACACACACACACACAAAAGTTGCATCTTTTGATTAATGTCTCCAATCTGCCCGCAGGCGTTCTCTCGGAACTCTGATGGGACATGGCTGCAACCGTCACAGTTAGAATATATCGAATCGAACTGACATGAGACGGACATCAAATTGCTGCTCCACTCCAGGCGCACCGAGATACAAATGGTCCAGCTCAATGCAGTTTCCTCCGTCGCGAATGTTTCCCTTGTCGTCCATGTATCTGCCGCTCTTTTCGCTGAGACCTCCAATCCGGTACTCAGGCACGCAGCCGGGCTACTTAATGTTAATGCCGTGGTAGAGTGGGTTGATATATCGGGGCACTAACTTTTGAATAGGCAGTCAACCTGCGCCGCCAGACGGGACCAGTTCCCCGCCCAAGCCAAATGCTCCTAGCTTGAGATTCCATCGAAACACAGCTATTATCCTTTACGTCTACTCTCTTCGTGTCTGGAATGAAATATTTGTCTCCGGTTCCGTACTTCCCGTCACTGCATGGCGACTCATTTCATCTCGCACGGGCAAAGATGGGAGTAAGCTGCAGCTTGATATGCCTTGCCAGTTAGAGCTTGTGTACTGAAGGATCTTCGACCGGGCAAGCCTCTTTTCTACCGCTACAAAAGAATGGGAATAGTAGCTTCATGCAAATGGCCTATCAGAAAAATTGCATATTCAGGGTCACCTTGTTGGTGGTGACTGAAGTTGAGACATGGAAACGGAATAAAAGTCGAGGATCACCAAGCCCCAGGGCTTGGTGGAAACCAGTTTGACTAGTTCACAGACCATGGACGCCCGGAAGGCTGTAGATTTCCAAGCTGGGGGTAAAGAATTAGCTTTCGTCCCCCAGAACCGGGCAGGCTGAGGCATAAGTTAGGGCTGCAGGCGCCTGCATTCGGCGCTTCGGTTGGCGGGGGCTCACCAGACTTCCAGCTAAAGACAAAAGTCCGTACCAAGTACTCCGTTCAGTTAGTTAGTTAGTAATTTCAGCCAAGCTGACTGAGGAGCGCATGTGTGGTTTCGCGAGCGCGGAATGGTCACGAACATTGTCTTACAGATGATCAAGACACAAAACCAAGTGGATTTATGGTCAAACTGATCGTCGTCAAGGCTCGTGTTGCAAGCTGATTGACATTGCCAATTGCTTTTCCAACTTTGCCGCAAACCCCACACAAGCCAATCCACATGAGTGGAGTGTTTCTGTAGAAGCAAATCCATCTGCTCTATTTTTTTGCGATCCTGGGAAGAGGTGGAACCCTGAATGGCTGCGCTCAACTTATATCTTTCACTATTATACTTTCTATCCTCTTGGGTCTCTCAGAAGAGTTAACTGATCCAACTTTGTTATCTGTGAAGTTATCTCCATTGCGCTTGTGTGACACGAAGGAGGCGGTGTGCAGATGCTGACAGGATTTGTGTGATTTCCACCATATCTGCATTTTGACCAGACCATACGGAGTAATGAAACCTTCTTCGCTCTTTCATAGCCTTTTCTCCACCCGCGTCTCCCTTCATCAGACCTCAAAAACAGCATGTCGGCACTACTCCTCTCCCCGCACTTCCTCACCGAACTCTCAGATGCGTGGTCGGTTTGAAAAACTCAATCAGCGACTACCTCGGTTTCTTCAACAATACACTGCACCTCTCGTCAACGCACCAGCCGCCCATATAACATCCTTTCTCATACTTCATGAAATAACTGCTGTCGTACCCCTTTTTGGGCTTGTTGGAGTATTCCACTATGGCGGTTGGATGCCCTCCTTGGGCGACGAGGAGGGAAATAGCGCGTTCGACGAGGGCGTGAAGAAATTCGGAAAATGGCTGCGGAGAAAAGGATGGGTCGAGAGTGGTGTGACGGAGGGAAATGCCAATAATGTCAGTGAACGGGGAAATAGTGTCGCAGACTCTGCCGCAAATGCCAATGCTTCTCAGGGAATGCGCTTAATCCTTGAGTTTGCAACTGCCTACGCAATTACGAAGGCTATGCTACCGGCCCGAATCATAGCGAGCATATGGGCAACTCCATGGTTCGCGAGACATATACTTGGCCCTGTCGGACGGGGGGCGCGAAGCTTGCTTGGGAATTTGAAAAAGAAACCATGACGATCCGCCTAACGTTGCTCTTGTACCATACGGGTTGCATTTGTCGATAATAAATGGCACCCACGGAATATAACTGGTTTTGAAATTCAAACTTGCAATGTCATTTTATAAAAGGCGGCATTATCGGCCCGATACCAGCCTTTGGTTTTGTTCTAATGTCCCCAATCCCAACATCGGGGCTATCTAAAATGGACTTTCGACAATCTATGCCTCATAGATCCACTCGTGCTGGCTGTGCTTGTACTTGATGAGTTCTCCCTCGCTGAACCACAAAGCAATTTCCTTCTTGGCGTTCTCGACGCTGTCAGATCCGTGGCAGACGTTACGGCCAACATCCTAAACATATTTGGGTCAGTGGATGGTGTTACCCAATGAAGCTAACCTGGTTTTGACTCACAATGGCATAATCACCCCGGATGGTGCCTGGAGCAGAGGCAAGAGGGTTGGTGGCACCGAGGATGGCTGAGGGAGACAATTAGCATACATGGAATTTTGAAGATGAGTTTGGGGAATACATACTTCGGCCGGTCTTGACGGCATCACGACCTTCCCAGACCATAGCGCAGATGGGGCCGCTCAACATGTCTAAAACCAGATTAACATGGTGGAAGGTGAGAGAGTCGGGAAAGTTCTAACAGGTGACGAGGCCCTTGAAGAAAGGCTTGTCGGAGAGATCAGCATAATGCTTCTCCAAGTGCTCCTTGGATGGAGACACAAGCTTCATAGCGACGAGTTTGTATCTATTCATATACTAAGCTCTGGTGCCCCTCCATCCTCACAGGACCTCTACGCACCCGCGGTTTTCGAATCGGCTGATGATTGGGCCGACGAGTCCGCGCTGAGAGTAAAAATATCAGCATTCTGGCTTTTAGGGGAATGATTCGCTGTGTCATATGGTTGTGGCGTGCGAGGAGGGGCAGTTTGTTCAGAGCAGGACCCCGCGTACCTGGACACCATCTGGCTTGATGGCGATGAAACTGTAAAATTCCGGTTAGGCAAGGACAGGACGATGAACACCCAGGGAAGACTCACGTCTGTTCAAGAGACATTGTGAATGTAATATTATAGAACCTCTATATCAATTGGTTCAGAGCAGAGAGTCAGAGAGCAGTTGTGTGTGTGGGATGGATGAGGGGCAGAGGATTTTGAAAATCGGTTGATGCTGGCCAACGGCGCTAAAATCCTGCAGCGGAGTTAGGGCGGCTGTTAGTTAAGACTGCCAAGCAAACTTTCCATGAAGCACCTTGGAACATCGACGGAGTACGGAGTAAACACTGTTATATAGGACAACTTGCTCGAAAGCCTCCACGGATCAAAGGTACGAATCTGGCCTTCGTACTTTTGAGAGCATCAATTACTGCTGCTAATGATTTAATTATTTCACATGTATTCTCCTTGTCTTTTTCAAATTAATTGAATTCTCGGTTCTCATCGACGCCTCATGGCGCCTTCCCGGGCTCCAGTATGGTCATTGACCCTGGTGGCCATCGTCATACTCTCATGCCTTGTCGTCCCCGGCCGTAAGTTCAAGCATCAAAACCGTCGAAATCACACTGTCTGACTTTAACTGCTCTACTTATAGTCATGGTTAAGCACGAGAATTTCAAGACTTGCTCGCAATCAGGCTTCTGCAAACGCAACCGTGCGCTCGCCGATTCAATTTCCGATAAGGGACCGTCATGGTCGTCGCCATATAAACTAGATCCTAGCTCAATTAGCTTTAAAAATGGTCGACTGTTTGGAACAGTTATCAAATCAACATCGAAACATGGAGACGTTCGGCTTCCTTTGACCGTTTCATTTCTCAAAACTGGCGTTGCACGGGTCACTATAGACGAAGAAAGGCGTTTAAAGGGGGATATTGAACTGAGACATGGAAGCACTGTGAGAAAAGAGCGATACAATGAGGCTGCAAAGTGGGCAATTGCTGGGGATCTTGGCACCGGGCTGGCCGAGATGGACAAAGACTCCAACGACGAAGTCACGGAAGTCAAATACGGGCCCCGAGGTGAATTTAAGGCTGTGATTAGACATTCACCTTTCGGAATATCCTTCGAACGCGATGGTGAGACACAGATCAAGTTCAATGACAAAGGATTTCTCAACATTGAGCATTGGAGGGCCAAGACCGAAACAAATGGCGACTCCCAGGAGAATGATCCAGAAGCGGATGACTCCACTTGGTGGGAAGAATCATTTGGAGGAAATACCGATTCCAAACCAAGAGGACCTGAGAGCGTTGGGTTGGATATCACGTTTCCTGGATACGCCCATGTTTTTGGCATCCCAGAGCATGCCGATTCTATGTCTTTGAAGGAGACAAGGTGAGTCGCCTGGCTTTCTTTGTGCGTAGAAATACCTAATCTCTTAAAGGGGTGGAGAGGGTCAGCACACCGAACCGTATCGCCTGTATAATTCGGATGTCTTTGAATACGAGCTGAACAGCCCAATGACCCTCTATGGCTCGATTCCCTTCATGCATGCCCACCGTCCTGGATCTACCGTCGGTGTCCTCTGGCTAAACGCTGCAGAAACATGGGTCGACATTGTGAAGTCAAAGGAGACGCCGAACCCGCTTGCCCTTGGAGCTAAGGAAAGCACCAACACTCAAACTCACTGGTTCTCCGAGAACGGACAACTTGATGTGTTCATATTCCTCGGCCCAACCCCATACGACGTCACTAAATCATACGGGGAGCTCACTGGATTCACGCAGCTTCCACAGCATTTTTCTATTGCCTACCATCAGTGCCGCTGGAATTATGTGACAGATGAAGACGTTAAAGACGTTGATCGGAAATTCGACATGTATCAAATCCCGTATGATGTGATATGGCTCGATATCGAGTATACGGACCAAAAGAAATATTTCACCTGGGATCCACATACCTTTCCAGATCCTATCGGTATGCAGAAGCAGCTTGATGCTTCGGATCGCAAACTGGTTTACATCATTGATCCCCATATCAAAAATGAAGCCAATTACCCGATCGTTGATGAGCTGAAGAATAAAAAGTTGGCCGTTAACAACAAGGACGGGAATATCTATGATGGCTGGTGTTGGCCGGGGTCTTCTCACTGGGTCGATTGTTTTAACCCTGCTGCGATTGAATGGTGGAAAGGCTTGTTCAAATATGATGCGTTCAAGGGCACCCAGCATAACTCTTTCCTGTGGAATGATATGAATGAACCCTCTGTCTTCAATGGCCCCGAGACTACGATGCCGAAAGACAACATTCACTATGGTGGATGGGAACATCGAGATGTCCATAATATTAACGGCATGACTTTTGTTAATGCGACCTACAATGCGTTGCTTGAACGGAAAAAGGGTGAAATTAGACGTCCTTTTGTACTGACTCGCTCATTTTATGCTGGGTCTCAGCGTCAGGGTGCAATGTGGACCGGTGATAATCAAGCCAGCTGGGAACACCTCGCCGCTTCCCTACCTATGGTCTTGAACAATGGAATTGCTGGATTCCCGTTCGCAGGTGCCGATGTTGGCGGATTTTTCGGCAACCCAAGCAAGGAGCTTCTCACGCGATGGTACCAAACCGGTATCTTCTATCCTTTCTTCCGAGCACATGCTCACATCGACACCCGGAGGCGCGAGCCGTATTTGAGCGGTGAACCATACACCAGTATCATCACTCAGGCGCTGCGTCTCCGGTACCAACTACTCCCAGCATGGTATACCGCTTTCCACCAGGCGTCTGTTGATGGCGCTCCTATTGTTCGACCGCAGTATTATCTTCACCCACAAGATGAACAAGGTTTTGCAATCGACGACCAGTTATACCTTGGTTCAACCGGTCTGCTCGCAAAGCCTGTCGTCACTGAAGGGGCAACCAGCGTTGACATCTACATTTCTGACGACGAGAAATATTACGACTATTTTGATTATACCGTTTATCACGGGGCCGGAAGGACACATAGAGTACAAGCCCCTCTAGAAAAGATTCCCCTCTTAATGCAAGGTGGCCACATTATCCCAAGAAAAGATAGGCCACGTCGAAGCAGCGGACTGATGAAGTTCGATCCGTACACGCTTGTAGTTGTCTTGGACAAGAGTGGGCATGCAGAAGGCGAACTTTACGTGGATGACGGTGAGACATTTGATTATCAAAGCGGTGCTTTGATCCACCGTCGTTTTATTTTCGATAATTCCACGTTATCGTCGGAAAACCTCGGAGCTAGTGGTCCGAAGACGGCAAAGTATTTGAAGAGCATGGCAAAGGTTCATGTCGAGAAGATCATTGTTGTTGGTGCTCCTGAGGAATGGAAGGGCAAACAAGCAGTGCAGGTTGTGGAAAAGGGTACCCAGAGTGAAGCTCAAGCTGCTTTGGAGTGGCACGGTTCACGCGATGGCAAGGCGTCCTACGCGATCGTCAAGAACCCGATTGTCTCGATCACGAAGTCATGGAAGATAAGCTTTGGTTAAATTTGTGCCTCTCCTATATGTTGCTACGCTGGATGTATGTACGTATACCACTTGTTTGGAGAATAGAGACTGTCAAAACACCCTTACCTCAAATTTCTCAATTGCCGTTAGACGTGCGTTTCACATTGGCGTGCGGGAGCTTCACGTTCATTGGCGCAGCTCTCAAGCTCACTTCCGGTTTATCTAGCCGCCTCTGCCAAGCCCGCACAGGCCAGCCGGGCTGCTTGGCCAAATCGTCACTCGCGCAAGGACAACACGCTGGCGGTACGGAGTACACAACTTTGGCCCCCTTACGAGGACCAATGCCCGCTCTGTTCAAGAGGAAGTCCCTCCGAAATCAACGCTTCAAAACGTTGTGTTTCCGTCGCAACCTACCTTGTATTTTCCTCTTTGCTTCTTCGGTGAGTGCGCTCACCTGACGAGAGATCGGGGCGAATTAGCGTTCCTGGCTCCCTAGCGTTTCCGGGGACCGCAAAAAAAAAATAAAATAAAATAAAATAAAATAAGGAAAAAGGCACCCCCGAAGGACTGCTGGGACAGTTTGATTTCTGCGCAATTTTCCTCCAAGATTCTTCGATTGTGCTGTCTAGACACTCTTTTTCAACGCCTCATCTCTGCCCGTCGCGCGCGCTCGCTTCCCAGGTTGGATTGCTCGTTTACCGTCTGTCGTTGTGAATGATCTTACAGAAAGATCTGAGAACCACCCCTCAATCCTACAACCTATCAGGGGGTGAGAATCTCGGTGGTGAGGAGGTTCAAGGAGCGATATAATTCACCATGTGGCTCGTTTCGGTAGCTATGGAGTACGCAGCTCCGCTCTTGTAAGGATTTTTACTGCACTGTTCGAGGTTGGCATGCCCTAACGGCCGTCGACAGCCTCGTCATTTCTCCGATCCTTTCGTACGCGGACCAAATATATAGTATTCAAAGGACGAAAAGTTCGGCCGGGTTTTCATTGGATATACCTCTAATAATGCTTGTTGCGTCGATTTTCAAGTATGTCCCTTCCAAGTCCCTCAATTGCTTTTCGTTGGTCGCTGGTTCTAACGTCCTGATCCGAAGGGTGTTTTATTGGTTCGGTGCATATTATTCGTTTCCGTTACTCTTACAGGCGATGATGATGATCGGAGTACAAATACTGCTGCTGAAGGTTGCCCTTGACCATCGACCCCAATCTCCGGTTGACCATAAACCATTTTCCGGGCAGCTTCCCGGAGGCCATTCCGAACTTAGAAGGCCGTATGACTTTTGGCAGTGGAAAGCGACCAGACCGTATGTGTTGTTTACAGCCATCCTTAGCTTTCCGTCCATTATTATATTCAAGTCACTAACATCATCTAGTTACTGGACCTTCCTCGCTTACCTTGGCCTCTCGCTTTTCCTCATCCATGTCCTGATTCCCCCAATCTCGAATTCGGAATTCTACATCACACTGCTAGGTTTCGCCGGCCTAGGTGTCGAAGCTTTCCTTCCCGTCCCCCAAGTCCTCGCCAACCAGAGATCGAAATCATGCAAAGGTTTCCGCCTTTCTGTTCTCACAGCCTGGTTACTTGGAGATGCAATGAAATTGAGTTATTTCTTTTATAACGGCTCTTCGGTTCCTTGGGCATTCCGAGTTTGCGGGATGTTACAGTGCGTTTGTGATTGCTACTTGGGTGTACAATATTGGATGTTTGGTCATGGGCAACTCAGCCGAGTTGAGAAGGCATCTGCTGCTAATTCTGGTGATGGTGTTGATGGCTGGGGCTTGAAAGATATAGATGTGCGATTGTCATGATTGACTTGGCGTATTTTGGTGTCGATTGGAAATTTTTGAGATATATGAGATATGGACCATGTAATATTTGCTCGCAGGATTTGCGCATTTCGCCGTCACTTTCATGGCTAATTATGAGATGGGCATGGATGATATTATTATAATAATTTAGAGACACGTTCGACAGTTATCTAACCCAGTTTTGCAAGAAATTCTGAGCTTCTACTTGCTCCGAGTTTTTGGTGCTGGTTCCCATTGGCTTCCGACACCACCATCAGTACTACCTATGACGATATCCTGGACGATCGAGATAGACCTTAGCATCTTCATTCTGAGCGCCAACTCAAAAGGCTCAAGTTCCAAGAAAAACCTTCAATCTCTATAGCGGCGCTGTACAGAACAAGATGGCGACATCCGAGACACAAACGATCAGAATTGGCTACGTGCCCGGTAAGAGCTGACTTTGTTTACACTATTGCCCCGCCCCCGCTCCTATCCATCTTTCTGCAGTCCAGATGATACCCAGCAACGCAACGGAGGAATTCACAATGTGAAAGATTCGAGAATGGCTTGCCGATTTCAGATCTGATTGGAAATGATATATCTAACTACTAGGCTCTAGAGCATTATTTGGCTCCCCTCCACCTCGCTGCCCGATCCGCTTTCTCGTCCCTCCCATTCAATGTTACCCTTAAGGCCTTCCCCTCTGGCACCGGACATATGATAACTTCTTTACGGCAAAATGAGATAGATATTGGAATTGGTCTTACTGAGGGTTGGGTTGCCGGGTTGGTTGGAAAGGAGCAGGTTGAGAAAGGCCCTGATGCAGACGGGGGATATAAAGTGGTTGGGCAGTGGGTAGAGACGCCCTTGAGGTGGGCCATTGTCACGGGGAGACAGAGAGCGAACATTGACAGTGTGGATGATTTGAAAGGTGGAAGGGTGGGTGTGAGTCGATTGGGAAGGTAAGTCATTCAGCTGTCCAGGTGAGTGAGTGTGGATGTTTACTATTTTTTTTTCTAGCGGATCTCATATCATGTCCTTCGTTCTTGCGAAGCAGCAAAATTGGCCAATTCCCGCACCTCTTACTCCGGTTATCCTAGGTCCTTTCGGGTCACTCCGAGATGGAGTGACGGGGAAGGGTCCCAATGAGTCGGATGCGGAGCATCCGACTGCAGATTTCTTCATGTGGGAGCAATTCACCACCAAGCCGTATTTTGATGCCACTCCCGCCACTCCATCTCCTCCGCTAAAGAAAATCGGGGAGATATTTACACCATGGCCTTCATGGCATATTGCAGCGTCTTCCTCAAAATTTCCAAATCCCGAAAACGATCCTCGATTAACGCAACTCATGGAGGCTCTGGATCACGGCATTGCTGCATTTGAAGCCGATACAGCACATGTTGTTGCATTGTTGGGAACAGGAGAACTGGGATGCACTTATTCAAAAGAAGATGCTACTGAGTGGTTGAAAGACGTCAGGTTTGTCAAGGGAGGCACTAAGGGTATTCGAAGGGATATCATTAAGAACGTTGTTGATATTTTGAAGAATGCTGACGTTGTGCCAAATGAGATTGGCAACGATGAGGCTGTGAGAAGAGTTGCTGGTATCCTTCGAGAGCAGTAGCTCAGGCTGGATCTTGATATATATCTTGGTGGAAATCAAGTTGATTCCGTGCCTTGCAAATGAAGTCCACCGGAATCGTAACTTTGCATCTCGGCGGGTGGATGTAACCCTCGTCACAATCCGTTGCTTGTCGGCATCGTGTACGGAGTACATAACGTGTAATCATTACTCTTGATTGCTCTTGTGAATATTTTCTGCCATGGCTTGGTGGCTTGAAACTCGAATTTAACCTATTATGAACTTGTCAACTGAGGACCTTTATTGGCAGGTCCTCGCTTTTGACTCCTGTCACGGATCAGCAGGTGGCGCCAAAACTATTGGTGATTGAGTTCTGGCTGGCCCCTGATTCAACCTCCGTAATATTGACCGCTGTTGTCACAATCGCAAGTCAATCTACTTGAACAGCCACAGATGAAGCAAAAGTTCCGTAAATAATTTGCATTTACTCCGTATTGATTGTTAATCCAAGGGCCTCTACTCCGTACTCCGTACAATCCATTCTACTGGGTTTCAAAAACGAAATTTCTTTTTTAGTACTCTGTGCTCCGTATATCTGTAAGGTTGAAAATGAATTCAACTATTTTAAGCATGGTCCAAGTCAGATATTACATTTCTTTGCGTCTATACCAATCGTCTCTCTTTTTCGGTAAATTTCTTTCTTGAGTATCAAGTTTATCCGATGGTTAGTATATTTCTACTCTTTGTTTCTGCTCTTCTTTGGCATGAGGCTGTGGCGGTTTATGAACTTGTCGACAATTATGCTGGAAATACATTTTTTAGCAACTTTACCTTCTTTACCGAACCCGATCCCACTCAAGGATTTGTTAAGTATATCGGAGAGCCGGAGGCCCGCAAGAATGGCTTGATCGGATTCAGCAGCAGTTATTCTGGCGATAACATGGCATGGATGAGCGTGGATCGGACAAACGTCGCACCAATGGGCCGGGAGAGCGTCCGTATAACGAGCAAGAAGGTGTACAATCAGGGATTGTTTATCGTTGACATTGCACACGTTCCGACTACGACATGCGGAACTTGGCCTGCGTTTTGGATGTACGGCCCCGATTGGCCTCATGGAGGAGAGATCGACATTTATGAGGGGGTCAATCTCGAGTATCAGAATTCAATGACACTTCACACCGGACCCGGTTGCACGGTATCCCGACACGCAGAATCCACTGGGCGGATGACGACAACGAATTGCGATGTTGCTGCCGCCGGACAAAAGCCCAACGAAGGATGCAAGGTCAGATCACAGGACCCCTTGAGCTTTGGAGCTGGGCTCAATGCGGTTGCAGGGGGCATGTATGCAACAGAGTGGACCGTCGATGCCATCAAAATCTGGTTCTTCCCACGCACCTTTCAAATACCATATGACATTACACAGGGGACACCAGATCCAAACACATGGGGCCTGCCCACAGCACATTTCGCTGGAAACTGCAGCTTCACGAACAGTTTCAAGGACTTGAGGATTGTGATAAACACGACATTCTGCGGTCAGTGGGCCGGCCAAGTGTGGGGAAAATCACCATGCGCATCGGTAACCTCAACGTGTGAGGAATTCGTGGCGAATTATCCAGAGGCCTTTTTACAAAGTTACTGGGCTATCAATTCGATAAAAGTGTATGAAAAGAAGCCAGGGTGGGAGAGCGCCTGAGCCGGGCGTTGAAATGGTGCGATTGATATACTGTACATATTTATTAGTAGAGACTTGAGATAAAGGAAAGAGATGACACTCACTTGGAAGATGAAACATAGGCAGACTTTTCTTGCATGGAATGGCTGAATTGTCACGGCCAAGCAGAAATGTGAAAACACACAGATGAACCTTAGCCAGCAGAGAGTTGTAGCAGCATGTTTTGATCAGAAACACCCGCTGAAGACATTAGAAAATTTAGTGATCATTAAATCTTAGCGCTGCGGACTTGGAAATCGAGGAATATGCGGCTGGGCAGCCATATTAAATTCAAAAAATAATAATAGAGTACAGAGTACGCTGTAGTATCTCTGGATAACAATCTTTCTAGATTCAGGCATGTTAATATAGCATTGCAATTAATTGTGAATGGAGAAAGGTACCAAAGTTCGTTGCTTAATGCTATTGCACTTCAAGCTTCCGCACGGATCTCCAAAAGCCTACGGAGTACTCCGTACGGAGTACACCTTCTCGGGTTAGCGATATGAAATTGGCCGAGCCTGTCCAACAGCCAGACCACACCATAGTTATCCACAATTCTATATAATTTGATTCTTGTTCCACTATATCACATACGACCATAGGAAATAGAGAACAGGGCTTCCTGTCCACTCAGCCATACTTAACCTACTTGTTAAGCTCAGCCAATTCACATGGCTGCCTTTCAACAGTGCTGCTTCAAAGGTGAGTGCTGCATGAGCATGATGATGCTTGGGTGAGCAAGGTGATTTCCAGCACCAGTAAGAGTGAGCCAGTAGATTAGTGGGTGAGTTCTGTGCTGAGGGAGTGGAGTATTTATAGCAATAACTAGTTATGAAGAGACTTTAATAAACAGAGATTCTCTTTCAAAGTTGACTCTCAAATTCAAATTCAATCTCTCATTTCTCTGAAATAGATTTATAGTGTCTACTTTTACAGAGTACAATCTTGAAAAATGGTTAGCAACATCACTGAATGACTGACTAATCAGCAAAAGTAGTAAGTTGAGGAACACTGCAAGCTGGCAGAATCCAGAGATTTCACCATTCAATATCAAGGGAAAGTAGAGAGAAAAGTGAAAATATTGTCACAAGCAACAGACTCCAGCTACTGAAGCAACATATGCAAGAGTAATTGAAAATTGGTTCTTGTAGATTAAGCAGTGAAATTTGAATAACACAAATTATCTAACAAGAAAATAGATTCAGGCTATTCTGAAATAAACCCATAGAGAAAGACTTTGCAAAGAATGAGCTTGATCTATCAGCTCAAATACTGAAATTATTTGTAGAAGATTTTATTATTACTAGAAAAAAATCTGCCCTCTCAGTTCTCAGTTAAGCGTACTATTGCATGCTTGCAGAATAAGAGATCAAGACCAGCCATGTACTCCTGCTCAACCTAAAGAAGAATGTTTGTTGGAGGCTCGACGGAAGCGTTTCAGTCGGCATACTGGATAACGACGACCCTGGGACTCGGGGCATAGCGACTCCGGCTCCCGGCAATGTAGCTTGAGGTCCGATATCCCAACCATCTTGGGCTATTGTCGACTCTCTATCAAGGTTACTGTTGTTAAGCCTATCATACATAAAGGAGACCACGCTATGTCGTAAGCGTCGAGAGTCGAATGACGAGAGCTCCATCTTCGGAAAATGCAAAAGGAGTAAGAAAATTAGTTATATAGGTAGTTAGCGTAAATAGATTGGGATAAGATATAAGAATACGTTTTGTCAGGGAGATAATAGAATAAGGAAACCAAATTATCAAGAGAACCAAGCTAACAAGTACTTACACGCAGAGGTGTCAGAATGGAAAGGAGTGTGTTGGAACAAAGGCAGGAAGCAGTCAGTCAGCAGGAAGTTACCTGGAACCCTTCGGCGGCATGGTTGAATGATAATATGCCACGACGAGCCAGGTCCCATCCGGGCATACTCTGTGAAAAAGAATTGCATTTTGAAGATTGGACCAGACGAGAGAAGATACTTGACTCACCATGGTCCACCCAGAACCGGATAGAATTCAGACTGGAATTGCAAATGATGCGCCTGTGAACAGGCTACTGCTCCCATCTGCATCATTGCTCGACACCCAATTCACCCGTGCCCCTCTTGGCTTCAGGTTTGTCAGGGTCTATCCTTTTCCCTTCTCTGTTCCAGTACTTCCCTCTCTTCTAGAAGGGTTTAGATCTCGTTCTGATAAGTCCCTTTTCTTGTGAACATCAAAAAGAGGAAGCCCAAACTTTTGGTATAGAGGAGGGCCAGATGAATTCCCGGCAGATGTAGACAAAGGAATTCACGAAATCGGAGTAGACACAGATATGGAAAGGCTTGGATGTCAGAAAGAGCTGTGTTGTAATATTCCAGTAAACAGAGTCCTGGGTGCTTTCTTTCCCTGAACTACGGTGCTGTCACAAAAAGGAGCTCGCATAGCCAAAGGGAAGTATCTTTCCTATTCCTGAAATCTCGTGCGTAGTTACTTCCTGGCTGTCTCGTGGGTGCCTGCTTTGTAATTGAGGATTTTCTAGGAGTCGGATTTACCTTGTAGATATGTAGAGTAGGCATATAAAGAGTGGTTGGTGACAGTCAAAGATTCCTTTGCCTCTCTCTTTTCCTACTCTTCACCAGTCCCTCCATGGTGTCTATCTCTTGATGAGGATAGTTGCTTTCCCAGGCACTGGCGCACCCTGCCTGACACTGCAGACCATGCTGGGTTGGTTGTGGTATGCCACTGTTCGTTTCGATGTCGTTGGTTCATGGATGGTGCTTCGCAGGTTTGAGCACCATACCCAAGAACATGTCATAACTCTCTTCTAACATAGTTATATGCTTGAGCAAGGTCTCACAGTGGAGTCAGGCATTCCTCTCACAAAGCGTAAGATACCTCCATGGCCGAGGCCCCAGGAAGCAATACAGCAGTGTGGTTTGAGGAGACTTGTCATCATTCTCCAGTTCTTTGGCGCACCTTAAATGTATGGGACTATATTAACTCCCCATACTTTCCCGCAAATGAAGAATAAACCCTTATTACGAACTGAGACCTCGGTCAATGATGGAAAGCAACTGTATATCTTATAGGCGGGGCTTAGTGTTTTCCGACTTTTGGCTTGGATTCACTGCACATCGGAGTCTCTGCTCTGGCATGGCTGCTCAGCCTTGCTGCAGTGCTTCTCTAGGGTCCCCGTGGAGTCAGAACATCAGCGCGCAATCCATCCCCCGGCTAGCCAAGAGCGGTTTGTGCGTGATGATAGTCATCATCCTTCAAAAGATTCCTTGTTACGATTGTCTGGAGCGGTCTGGTAAACAACGGAATTTTGATCCGAGGGAGGGAGGACGGGCTTTTATATGCCTAGAGTCGCCTGGCGTGAGTCATCAACACGGCATACTTGTGTCATTCAGTGGTGGGTGAAGTCTGGATTCTCTTTCGTCAACCGTAGTTCCAGAACAGTGTAAACTTGGTCACGCAGTAGTTAGTTAACTATAGTAGCAACCATACAAAACTCTTGCACACGGCCTCTTTCTTTGGCTCAAGAAATGTGTATATAGTAGTCAAAGGTACCACAAGGTTTGCCAATATATCACATGAGTAGTAATTTAGAGCTCCTTGGTGTCTACCTCGCCTATTAACTTTTCAGGCCAGGACTTGCAAGTTCGCTTGTATGACACCACCTGAAATTGCTCATGCTACTACGGAGTAGTTTGTTGACTATGTCTTACTCTTTCATCTTAGTCTCGTAGTCTTGTTGTCCCCCCAAACACCGGATTGCATGAGGCTAGGGCTATCCTCTCCGTAGCGTAGTACTAGTAACTACTAGCTGCTAACTACTGTTGTTTGCAAGAGTTTCTGGCTGCCACCCTAGACACTCAGAACATAGAAGCATGCAGAATCAAAAACAATCAAGCTGGCCTGTGGTTGCATTAACCCCGCATCCGTTCAAATGGATGATAAGGGCGGAGAGGATCTTTTAGGTAGCTTGATTGGCGAGAATCAGAATCCCCGTCCCGTCAGTTTATCCTGCAGGCCTACGGACGATGCTTTTTGACCTCGACGTACCACAGAAAAAGCATTAGACAAGGCGCCTGGACTCGCCAGCAAAGTTGACAGCGGGAGTGTTCAGTAAGTGTGTATCCTCTGCTTCTTCCAAGGCGCTCATCTGACAGAAACAGAGGAGACCCTCATCCGACGACTAAAACCGGGGACCCGTATCATGCGTCCATCACCCTTGGCATCAAGGGGAAGGACCGTGTTGTATCTGCACACGTCTATCCCAACGGCACTGTGAAGTTTTCGAAGGATTATGGCCAGGTCAAAGTTGATGCTGACCCGGATGCCCCGGAGGGAGAGAGCGCTTTGAAATAAGTGGTCAACGAAGCAAATTGGAGAAGCACATGTTCCTCGTGCGGGAAGGAGCATATGATATGTTTGGCACGTGACTTTGCGTTTTCTCTCCGTATGAAACCGTGGCAATCAATATTGTGTTTATCGTGCTCTAGAGTCTGGACAGCAACAAGAATGTTTTAGAACACCAGAGGAATAACTAAGTCATATGCGACTATGTTGTAAGCTCCTCAGATCTGGGGTAGTTACCTCTGGTTTTTATCCCAGACTAGATTTAACTAACTAGTGCGACCATCGCCAAGACATGCCAGTGCTAACTATTTCAACTTAATATACGACGCTGGAGCTCCTTCCGGGCGTCTCTGCCACCTCTAAGCAGGAGACATTCAGCAGAACGAATCATCCGCTTTCCTCCGGGGGCTCCGCTGAAGCAAGCAACCAGACGAACAGGATTTTCCTACGCTTGATACGCTTACTGTTCGTCTTGATGATTGGTTTGCGGTCATTGAACCATGTGATAAAGCGGTCGTTTTCCCTCCGCGCCAAACTAGTTCAATTCCCGCCTTCTCAGTTTGCTCCTCCAGTTCCCCAGCACGAACTTATTGATGAAGAGGCCTGCCCGGCTTACGACCCGAAATACTTTTACCCTGCTAAGCCAGGAGAGATACTTGCCAATCACTACCAGCTATTGGTGAAGATCGGTTGGGGAACACGTTCAACCATATGGCTGGCGAAGGATCTAAAAAGGTAGGCATTGTCCCTGCCATCCCCCTTGTGATGATGCTCAACCTACTAACAAATGGAGATTTAATGTAGATATATTTGGCAGCGAGAACGTTTCGTGGCACTGAAAATAATAAATAACCGCAGCTCTCTCCAGGCTTACCATGAGCGCGATATCGAGGAGCACATTTCCCGCCAACGCCGGATACACCGTGGTCGTGGGATTATCCGAACCTGCCTTGACAGCTTCGAAGTGACAGGTCCAGATGGGAGCCATCTGTGTCTAGCATATGAACCAATGCGGGAGCCGCTTTGGATACTCCAGAAAACGTTTTGTTGACCAAAGGCTCCCTCTCCCGATTGCAAAGGCATACCTTCTTATTCTCCTTGCAGGCCTTGACTATCTTCATTCAGAATGCAGGCTTGTACATACCGGCAAGTAACTTATTTTCAGTTACTCCTTTTCACATCATCACTCTTTTCTAAGTGCATTACTGATACCTCTTGCTAGACTTGAAGCTCGACAATATTTTGATGACGTTCGAGAACGAAGACATTCTTCCTAACTTTATCAAAGAACAGATCACCAACCTGCCTATGCAGTGCAAGACGACGAGCGGGCGTACAATCTACCGTTGTCACAACGATTTCGGGTCCCTCGATTGGAGAGAACTTCGGAAAATGTTGCCTAAAATTGTTGACTTTGGGTTAGCAGCCCGCCTTGAAAGTGATAGTCAGGGGCAAGTGAGGAACGAAACAGGTGGTTTTCATCCGATACAGCCGGACCACTACCGTGCGCCGGAGGTCATTCTTGGCTGTCCATGGAGTTTTAGCGCGGATATATGGAATATTTGGTGTCCTGGTATTAATCCCTGCTTCCGAACTCCCTCCCTAGCACTTTTATTTGACTTCGCATGGGAGCTCTTTCCTTTCCTTCATTTTCACGATACCTATGTATATTCAGCAACGACTGACCGTACTCTTACAGGCGTGGGATATAATTGAGCACACCGAACTATTCCTCCATGTGCATGACAGTCAAGGTCATTACAACCCTAAGACACATTTGGCGGAAATGATTGCACTTCTTGGCCCTCCTCCCAAGGAATTATTAGCAAAGTCGGATGCTATGGCTGAGTTTAGTTGGCCTAATCCAATCATGAATGAGACAGGCAGGCTATGCAGGAACGGGCGGGAATATTTTAATGGGCCCTTTTTCAATGAAAATGGTATGCGAATTCATTTACGAATACCTGTGCTTTTCGACTAACGTTTTCGGTCTGGCAGGCGAATTCCTTTATGATGATCTGATACCTGCGCGGAAACTCGAAGATTCGATCCCGTCCTTGGAGCAGAAGGAAAGACAGGCCTTCTTGTCCTTTGTTACCCTTATGCTTGCCTGGAATCCGGATGATAGGCAAACAGCCGGCGAGTTGATGGAACACCCGTTCCTAAGGCTAGAGTGAAGGAGAGCCCTCCGCATTTGTCTTGAACAACCTGCTTTCCCCCACTTTTAAAATTTAATTTTGAAGTGAAACGGGCTCTTACGTTCGTGTCCGGCTTTCTGTACGCAGCGTCAGTCGGTCAGGGAGCTCTAGATACTTGGAAAGAGACTGATTTAGCCCACAATAAACCCTGTCCTGGGATTCTGCAAGGAGCTCTGTGAAATCCCGACTTGGGCCACGGTGACCTAGGGAACGGTAGAATGACTCCGAGCTCGATCTGGTCATCGACCATCTTCACCGCGTAGTGCTCAGATCGGGGGTTTGGCATCAGTTTGACATTACTCCATGTATCCCACTGCTTCCATCCCCAGATGACACCTCATCCAAAAGCACTCTACCCCGTACAACCAGTAATATTTGTCGTGCTGAGATACTGATTTCGGAGCCTCAGTCATCCCCAAGGTGGTGATGCTACTTCGACGCCAGCTACGAGGCGAGCAATCAAACCATAGGGTATCTGCGGTGATGGGTCGTTGACAGTGTGCATACCGAGGTCGTGCCTTGCTTCCAGATGGGTGTAGTTGCTGGCCCCCGCCAGTGGCTCGATGTCCATGACCATGTTTTCCGTTAGATGGTTTGAGGATTTCAAAATGATGAGTTTGGGATCCATGGAATCTGTCCCAAGCTTTCCTCGGGTTGGATTATCGAGAGTTATGGATATGGTTATAACCCATAGTTAACTAATTCACTCTCTATGATCTATTGTCTTAAAATATACTCCTTTGAGCTGAATTTCTCTATAATAGTAGACATTCTTAAGAATCATTTTCACCCACTGTACCTTTACAAGGCCGATCCATCACCTTGCATGTAAAAGTACATCATATATACAGATAGAAAAAGACAAAGGAATTTGTAAACGCTCTCAACTAAAAAGGACGCTTAATGGAGGGCCGTGGTTCATGTTTGAAATCAAACCCCGAGCTGGAGCTTTAAAATCCGGGCTTTGTGTAGCTTATCGGTCATTCAAAAAAGAAGTAGTGGCCACAGAGAAAGGAGACAAATATCCCCACTATATAGACTTAGATGGTATCATAAAAAAGAGTCCATTGGGAACTTTTAATCAATGCTGACTATGCAAAAGCATACTCTTATGTCTGGCGATTCTCTGTATACCAAGCCAAACTTGTTCTTTAGAGAATGATAGATAGTATTCAGAAAGAGGTTTTGCTATAGTTTCTGGATGACTATAATATTATATTTATAGATGGTTTGTCTCCCATCAGTGGTACTATTGGCAGATTATTACAGTTAAGAAACACTTTAGTGAAAATATGACACTCTACACTAATAATTAGAAGAAAATCAAGAAACTAATCTAATATAGAATCAACTAAATAAAGCAGTTAGAGAAAGAAGTCTACATACAGATATTAATATATAGAGTGGTTATTTACAGACTCAGTATACAGATGAATGTTTCAAATACTATAGCTATAGAAAACGGTATTAGAAAGAACAACTTCTTTTTTAACAAGTTCAGAGTAATCTACTAAATATTCCTCAAAGCTTCTTTTATATTTTTTTTTAAGTATTATATTAATTCTCTTCTTGATCTTTTCTGCTGTTGCTTTTCTTGATTCTGCTGTCAGATTTGATTTTTTTTAGCTTCACTAGAATTTTATACTGTTCTATTATAAATCATGGTCTGAAGATAGATGTTGTTATCTAGAAGCTCTTAATCACTTGTATATAGATTTATATTATTGTCTTGCTATTCAGAGCTGATAGTAGATTTTTGATTTAAATTATATCTTCTCTTATCTTATTCTGTATCTTTTCTTATTACATTAATCTCAGCTGCTAGCTTCTGTATAGATGATATGTTTCTGATCTTCTCTATATACAGCTCTATACTATTTAGCAGAGCTTTTATTATATTTTATAATAAGTTTCTGTTCTTGTCTAGTATATTTAATTGAAATTTCTTGATAGCTTTAATATCTGCCACTTGTATTTAAGTTGCATGGTCATGAATGCTTTAGAGCTGGAGGCCCATCCAAGAGGCAGTTTGACCGCTCACCATAGTTTCTTGGTATTGGGTGATATCTAGAGCTCTGGTGAGCAGATTGAGCCACTGTGTGAGCTGAATAGAAAGGTGGTTGTGGAGATATTTCAAAAATTAAGTCTTGATGGTATGAGGTTATTTCCCTTTTTTAATGGAAAGTGATGGTTATGCTTAGTAATGTTAAAGCCGGGATTCCCGGAATTATAATTTTCCAGGGAAAAGTGCCAGGGCAGGACAAGCTGGAGCCCATTGCAATGCGCGCAAAGGACTGACAGGTGCAGAAGGTGGAAGAGCTGTTAGTTCTGCACGCCAGCACAATGGTGACGACTCATAAATACATTACTTCTTTCGCTAGGAGTACGTTATCCTCGATTTTCCCCCCTGCTCGACCCAATTCGTCGTCAGTTCTTCCCTTCCTGTACCCAGTCCAACAGCAGACCAGAGATTTGCGAACTGGTGCAAAGACGAAAGCAAAGGATGCAGCTGCAAAAGCGAAGAAAAAGAGAAGGACATTCAGACAATATGATATGAAAGATGCACTTCAATTTTCATTATGCGACGCTATGAGGTATAGCCCCGTTTTAAATTCTCTCTCCTCCACGCCCAAGCTAACCGAAGATGCGGCTCCGAAAAACAGATACATCCGTGCCTTTGAAGCGGGTAGACAAGCAGCATCCGTTAAATACGAAGTTCACCTCAAACTACGGACGAAGAAGGATGGCCCTGTGATTCGGAATCAATTGAACCTTCCACATGCTGTTCATACTGGCGTCCGTGTTTGCGTCATTGCTCCTCCAGGGTCGCGTGCGGCAAAGGAGGCCAAAGCCGCCGGTGCAGACATTGTGGGCGAGGAAGATGTGTTTGAGCAGGTTAAGGCTGGTAACATTGAGTTTGAGGCGTGTATATGCCATTCATCTAGCTTGCAGAATCTGAATAAGGCTGGGCTGGGTAGGGTCCTCGGTCCAAAAGGATTGATGCCCAGCGCAAAATTGGGAACTGTGGTGGATAACGTTGGCCAGGCGGTAAGGAATATGCGTTCCGGGAGTATCTACCGGGAGAGGGCAGGCGTTATCCGTATGCCGATTGGCCGGTTGGGATTTTCACCCGAAGAACTCAGGAATAATCTACGAACCTTCATCGGCCAGGTGAAGAAGGACGCAGCGGGCTTGTCCGACCAAGTATCTAAAGAAATTGCTGAGGTGGTGAGTTTACCGCTTTGGTATGCACCGCACCCGCTCCATTCGTTACTAACCCGAGGTTAGGTTCTGAGCTCCACGAATGCCCCTGGTTTCAGCTTAAACGGCGAATATAAATCTGAGGATTCACCTCCGATTTCCGCCCTTACAGGGCAATGAGTAAAGCAACATGTATATTACTAGGCACCTTTCTTTCTGGCGTTTTCTGTGGCGTTTTCAGTAGAATGTGTTTTCTAAAACCTAACTCCCTTAAACGCCTTGTCATGCAAAAATGGAATGGGTATTATCGACGCTAAATCCTCAGTTTCAACAATGCCATGACAGCCTCTGTCTCCTCTCCTAAGAGCTCATGGAGGTGTAGGATCTTCAGCAGGCGGTCTTCCCTCTTCCTCCCAACTGTGTCCCCTTGTTTGACAGCAGTCCTGAGATCTAGAAGTAATGCCGTCTTTATGGTTGCGATTCTGTTGGATTGACTAACCACAAACGGATGTTGTTCGCCAACGCGGTTGATCACAGTCTTCAAGCTAAGGTACTGTTGAATATGCCGCTCTAGTCGACGCAACGATACCAAAGTCGTGTCGCCCGACTCATCTTGGTCCCGATCCTCGTCATCGCCGCTCTCGTCGTCTTCGCTCTGAATCAACTCTTCGTCCAACTCTAGATCCTTGCTCCGCTTGTTGCTCCCTTCATCTCCCTGATGGACCATAAGCTTCCGTTCCAATAATTCGATTTTCTCCGCAATATCCAATAAATAATATCCTATCGCGATATCAGATCGCAATCGCTTCTTGTCGTCCAGCAGTCCTTTAATGGTAGCAGTCCTATTTTCAAATTTCTCCTTGACACTCTGCACATCGCGCTGGAAACCTAACAGCACGGCCCTGATTTCTTCAACTCTCTCCTCTCCACCTTTGAGAGCGGTGCCGAGGGAGAGAAAGTCTTGATAGTTGTCGTTGACCAGGTTCAGTAACTCTTTGCTTAGGGATTGGCTCAGGTCTCGGAGCTCCGTCTGGAGATCCGCGAGCGATTGGTGGCGATTGGAGAGGGAGGAAAGAAATTTGGCTGGGTCAAAATCGGGAGTGGTAAAAGACGACCTAGAGAGGGGCTTAGGGAACGGGAGGTAGTCATCGCCATCGTTTACTTCTGCTTCAGACTCGGAAGAGTCGCCGAACTGGAGATTGAATCCATGGAGTTTAGTTTCCTGAGGCACCGAAAAAGGGCCGGGAGGACTTGCGACATACATAAAACCTGCCCATCCTTCGATATGCAGCTCTTCCATCCCATTAAGATCATAGCAGCTGCTGCTCGCACCAAGCACTCGCTCGACGCCCGCATCGCCGCTCTGGCTACCGTTCGAGCGTCGCTGGCAAGCGCCGATGACATAAGACATAACTTAGTTACTGACTAACTAGCTAGATTTGGTTTAGATCGAATCTGACACATCAAAATCAGACGAGGCTCTGTTTGTGTTGATTTTCAACAACACATTTTCACCTTCAAATCTGCTGACCCCCTACCACCACAATCAAATACAGATCTTATTCATTCACAAACTACATTGTCAGCTATGGCAGTTTGTGCCTGGTGTCAGTATAAAAAGCAACAGGGTCAAATGAAGAAAGGGCAGGTCTCTAGATCACTGTGTGGTTGCTCAGCTTGTATATAACTCTCTGCCTCAAGGGGCATTGCTGGGAAGAGTTCCATTCTATGGAATTGTAATATAACCAAAATAGGCTTAGAGGGAATAAATTACAGATTACTGCCAAATACTGCCAAATACACCAGTTTCCAATAGATTTCCAGTATTAAATACACTACTGTACACACTAATTTCTACACTAATTTTGCCTGGCGGACGGACGAGGGGATATCTTAAGAAATAATTATTATATTTAGATAATTCTTATAATGTACAAAGTTTATTATATCTGTATAGTATCTTCTTCATTTTATAACGATCAGACATTAACTTGTTAAGATATTAGAGACCAAAAAGTTGAGATTTGTATGTATATTTTGGTGTTTCGCTCGGTGGTGGATTTTAGTTAAGCTAGCTAGCTGACTCAGCATCGCCAATCGCTTTAACTCACCACTCCATCCCATCCTCGGCCGTCCTTGGACAAGCGACAGCGTGCGGGACTGACAACTCATCCTCTGCATCCTCGCGACAAACGTGGATGGTCACCCGTTGACTCCAATCCCGAATATTGCCCCAGTTACAAGGGCGGAAGCCATTCAATCTTGAATACATCCTGGCTCTTATTCCATCTTGGGACCAATGCGAGTCACCAGACTCACGTTGACCCCCTCGTAACCCTCCCCTCACTGTGAAATCGGTTCGTCCTACACAGTGACACGCTACAACTCTTGATTTTATTTTGTTTTACCTTCATGGTTGTTTATTCAAATATTTCCCTGCAATTTGCTGAGTCTGCGCGTTTTGCAGCCTCCTACTTCCCTCCTGAAACGTGCATAGAAAATATCCTCCCTTGTATTATCCTGTACATGCATGCATGATTGCCTGGCCACTTTCCTTTGCAAATATGGAGGCCAGGTCAGATCAGTTTAATTTCCATTCCAGTAGTGGACATTCTATCTCTTCCACCCACCCTCCACAGTTGTGGATGAACCACCCTTTTTCTCTTTCTTCAGGCTCTCATGCCCGAAGGTTTGATCACTCACTGAATGAACCTACACTCGCCCAGCGGACCGCCGCGTTTCGCCAGTTGAATCGCTTGCCACAGCGGGCCCAGCGCATACGTCGTCAGACCACTTCTATTGGTAGTCGCTCATCCTTCCCGTCGCAGCCAGTTGTTGTAAAGACATATTCTGCAGAGACAGATGCGCGGAGCACAATGTCACGACATATCTCTCGTTCTGAACGCCATCCACCCGCAAAATTGCCACCAGTGCAGGAGTTCGGTATCGAAGGAATTCTTCGAGCGATAGAGCCAGATATTCGAAATACTCTTGAAGCCATAGCAGAAATTTGTGGACGCAGCAAACTCAGCCTTGCCAACGAGTACGGCAGTCATAGACCGCCACTGGGAGAGATTCGTGCACCGACTAGGCCAATGAACCACGGGCTTCTTGCGGTGGAAGAAGCCACCTCGAGCAGCGAGCGGTTGGCTGACGAGAACATAATAGTTGTTGGTGATGATATAAGTACCGTTGACGGGCGGGAACAATACTCATCGAGATACGGTTTTTTTGAGAGCATGCAAGCCAATATCGGTGCTCTAGACTATCGATTTCCCTTTCCTCCTTGGAATGAAAGCGATCCCCAAGTAGCGATCCCCAGGAGGAACCCTACGCCGGCAGGCGAATCAAGAGCTCAGTCGCAAGCTCACGAGTGCCAACCGAAGTTGAGGCCTTCGTTGTTTCCATGGGCGCTTCTTGGACGAAGTGGAGACTTTGGTAATCGTGCTGGCCGGCAGTCGATCCAGTCTCGTCCCGTCATTTCGGAAGTTCACCTTGACGCCCAAGCTAGCAGCACAGATCAACAGCTCGATGAGATGGACTTGCCCATTCAGCTGGAATCCAGGCATACCAGCGAGACCGAGCGTGGTAACCCGATGCTCAAATATGCGGCACACAGGCTGTCATTTCTTTCTGATCTTCGAGGGCTGCTTAATCGGTTCAAGAATGTTCGCCAGCAGAATCGTTTGAGCGACAATGAAGCCTGTGTATCGGCAGAGAGGAATCTGAGAGAGCTTTTGCAGAGACAGAATACATATCTGCTGGCAAGAGATGAACACCACCAGGTTTTACATGTTGAGGCTGCTTAATGTAATAACGATGCATATCATGATATAATGTACGACATTTCTTTTGACGATCCGATACTTGCACAGTGGGTATGACACACCTCTCTTTTCCGAGCAGGCAATTTGAATTATGAAGTTACAGCCAAGTAATGATTTCACGATTGATTCACCCGCACTCATGACAATTTGATTCAGCAACTTTGTATATTAATTATACGGCCACAGTGACCAGAGAAAAATTTGGGCAATTTTCAATTTTACGTTGTTCGTATTAAAGATGTTTTGGCAAGTTCTCTTGGGCGACTATCTTGAGCATGGGAAAGGTGAGGTTTTATATACAAACAAGATCCTAAGCTGTGCTATCCTTAAACCTAGAATTCTCCATGTTATTGCTGGTCTGAGCCCTCTATAAGACCAATCAGCTTCTTCGCAAATTCTTCAAAGACCGAAAAAGACCAGCACTTTTTGTATCTCTCAACCAGCAAATCGTCATAAGAATCCAGACGGGCGTCTTGCGCCTTTTTTGTCGCTTTATTTCCCTGGTCTTGCCCAGTAGAGTCCTCCTTCCATCCCTCTACCATTTCACCAAATCCAACATCAATCGGAACAGCTCCCAAGAATCTTACGCCCGATTCCTGTGCCATAATTTGTCCGCCTCCGCGGGAGAAGACGTTGCTCACTTCGCCACAACACGGACATGTATATCCAGACATGTTTTCAATCACCCCCAAAACTGGTATGCGCGTTTTAACACAGAAATTGATCTCCTTCCGCACGTCGGAAGTGGATATCGCCTGGGGCGTCGTCACCAGAACGGCGCCCGCTAATTTCGGCGCTGTGGCACGTGAAGAACGCAAAGAGTAAGTTTGCTGAATGGTGAGCAATTGCTCAGCGAGCGCGATATGTTCATCGCTCGTGCCTGGCGGCGTATCGATGAGAAGATAGTCCGTTTCTCCCCATAAAACATCCGTGAGAAACTGACGGATCATAGCGGTCTTCTTGGGACCGCGCCATATTACGGCGTCGCCACGGTCGCGGAGGAGAAAGCCGAGGGACATGCAGCGTAGGGAGCCGCAGAAATTGGTGCTCTGAGGGGCAGTCTCTACTGTAGAGGAGGAAGATTCGTTCGAATCATCCGGTTTGTTTGCTCTCTGACTGCCGTTTAACCCGTCTGAAGAAGGGGTGTGGAAGGGATGGACGGTGACCGGCAACCAGCCGCCCGGGGCCTGTGTAATCTTCGCATCTTCTAGTCCGACGAGGCGTGGGATAGAAGGGCCAGTTAAGTCGACATCCAGAATACCCACGGACCGGCCTTGGAGGCATAGAGTAAGAGCGAGTTGGAGGGTCACGGAGGATTTGCCGACGCCGCCTTTCCCGGAGAGGACCTGTAAAACAAATAAACAGCCTGGAGTCAGCGAATGCTTACTTAAAGGCTGATTTTTGTGTCTGGTCTTTGTTTTGCGTGCCAAAACAGATCCCATGTAAGGGTTCCAGGGAGAACAGGGAGCTCCCCGCGTGGAACAGTTTCAGTTATCGATAAGAAATGGCGGGGATGACAAAAGCTTTTCATACCAACACAATATTCTTCACACCGTCCAGCGGCATGCTTGCATCAATTGCTTCAAGTGAAAGGTTTACCAGTTTTCCAAGAATCAAAGTTTGCACATTCAAAAGGTGGACATGAACATTAATGTGGTGTGCTTGGGGATTTATGGTACTCCAAGATGCTGGCTTATATATCACATCATCGCGATTATCAATCAAAAATATGTTGTCTGGATTTCTGCGGTAAAATTTACACAAGGGATTAAAAAGGGCACTAGTTACTGTAGACTTGAGCAATTAATTTTCTATTTGCTACTACCTTTGGTCCTCATGGTGGGATGATTAAAATATCCATAACTCGCCCAAGCGACGATATGGAATTCAATCAATTCGACAAATGGGGGCCAGATAGCTTTTAAAGCTAGAATGCTATGGTCAGGATCCCCAGAAGCACAAATCGCCAGAACGTAGCCCAAAGATATGGGCCGTTTTCCCTAGATTTTCATGTCCACTTTTGTACAACAACTCCACCGCGCTGGTATTCCTTAATTTCACCCAGGGCTGCCGACTTTTCCTTGAGCTCAGTGCTGGGGAAGGTGGTCATAAGTACCCACTGCCTTGTCTGGCTGACGGGACTTGCAGCGGTGACGAAATCATACACGTCACCGATTGTGTGCGTGGTATTGAAGCGGCTGGTCAACCTTGTGCCATCTCCAAGTCGAATTTGGAGCGTCACTGTAGGCTGGGACTCGTCAATTTTGGGATGTTGCGGCCCTGATTCCGTAGCTGTGGATGTTGCGGTGGTCGTCAGAGCTGGCGCTGCTGTCCGAGAACCTGGGCCTGGAGTGGGACTTCCCAAGCGCTGGCCTGGCCCAGAGAATGGTTTATACTTAGGTTTCGGTTTGACATAGTTGGAATCGTGCTGATTAACTTCCACATCAACATGCTGTCCCGGCTGAACATTCATTATAGCCAGTGGAGCTTGGCCTCGTCGAATGCTTTCCAGAATGTGTGAATTCCTTGGATCGTCAGAGCGGAACAAATCACCATCATCCACCGAAAATCCGTCATTCCAAAAGTGTAGCGTCCTACGCACGCGCTCAAGCGGCTGAGATCTGTTCGCGTTGGGATTTTCGACAACTCTGCTTGGAGCATCCTCGCCACCAAGTGTTCGAGCCGTACCAGTGAAATGAGATCTCCTCGGTTGCGATTCATCGTCTCGTGGTAAGGCTCTAAATATCAATAATGTCAGGGTCATCGTGAGGATCACGGACATGGAAGGATACTCACTTCTTTGCTTTCTCTATGATCTTTTTCTTGAGGTCATCAGGGTTTTGAACAGCTAAGCCTGACTTCTCCCCACCAGTGAACAGATTTGGTTTATCGTCCTCATCATCTTCTTGTTCATCCGCTTCCCCTGAGCCCAGATCGTGGAGGGTTGCGAACTTCTTTCTCTGTGGCCTGCCTGCACCGGTGTTCCTGGGCTGCGCCACTGGGGCAGCCTCCGCTAAGGTCGGGCCAGCTGAGCGACCCGCCGCTTGTTCTGGGGCCAAGTCTTCGTCATCGGCTGACTCGAACTCTTGCTCCTCAGGGTAAAATTCCGCAATGGAGCGGTCGAGATTCCAGTGGGCATTGTCAAGATACTCTCTAGCCTGTTGCCCAAGGAGGGATAGGTAAGCTTAAAACTTGAGCACAAAGACACGGAATCCTCACTTCTGTAGGAGTAACACCAGTAATAGCACAAAAATGTGAGATTAAAGTGTCTTGCTCCGCTAACGAAGGAGCCATGATCGCTGCTGCTGAGTACCAAGGAGGGGCAGCTAGGCTTGAGAAGGGCGTGGGTAGTTAGAACCAGAACCGAAAAGAGCGTAGATAATCTCTGCTACTGCGCGCCTATCTCAGCTCTCAGTATCGGGGTCTCTTTCCCGTCTCACCTTCGCAGACGATCAGGGAATGACAGCTCTCTGATGCGATTGAGGGATAGTCAGCCTTCACCAGGCGACGAGCAGCTGCAGTTATGTAATCAGCAAACGACGTCACTCACAGATTGATTAGTTAGTTGACTAATAACCAAGTCAGGCGTCGTGTCTGATTATGTAATCGACATCATGCTTACATAACAGGAGTCTGCTTGGCCTAGTCGGCCGTTGAGCAGTGACCAGATCAAGCGACGGGAAGAAGAGCAGCCGTTGACGGGCACAAAGGTAGCAGGACGATCTGACCATCGCTAGGCGACATTGCGAGAACCTGTGTTCTTCTCCCCGTCCTCGTTTTCTGTTCTTTAACCGGCCTCCTCGGGCGGTCAATCGCCCCCTCCCTTTCCCCCTCATCAGAACCTGCGTCGTCCACAATGAGTTCAGAAGGGAATTTGCAATCGAGGATAGAGCTCTTTGAATCTGCCTTGACACTCCCATCAGATTCCGAGACCTACGCGGCGAATAACGGACTTTCTCCGTCACCCGAGCCTTCCTCCAACTCCGTGGTTGTCTACCAACCACCAACGATATGGCGCTTTTTACGGAGTGCAGCAATCAACCTGCTTCTTCCCTTTATTAACGGCTTGATGTTGGGATTCGGGGAGCTATTTGCACACGAAGCTGCATTCCGACTCGGCTGGTCCAATACCAAGGTGAGCCATTCCCCTACCAGACAGCTACGATCCCATTTTGTTATGAAACCCTGGTTGACATTGGTTCTTCTGTCGTTGTCAGGTCTTTCCCACGCACAGAAGGTCAAGGCCCGCGGGCGCTGGGATCGAATCTCCGGAATCTTCTCGCCAAAGGCGATCCCGGAGTGTATTCAGTTTACAAGATATGGCATCGCTCGAATGAATCCGCATTGATGGAAGTCCTGGCAAGTCTCCGACGTGAGACGGCGCGACACCTGAATTTGAAGCTCAGAACTACATGGATTTCCTCAGTGTACATACATACATACTTCCATCTAGCTCACTGGTATCTGTTTTAGCATAAATCAGGGCGGCGAATGGCGTTGGACATTTACATCATGTCCCATCCCTCATTGGTCTTAAATTTCTTTCCCCAAAGCTACATGGAAGTCTTTTGCATAAACCAGGGAGAAGAATAGGAATACATGGAATTAACCAAACGTCGAAGCATTCCATTCGTGTACGCAGTATTATGTAGCCTGCAATAATGGTTGGCATTGCGGTCTGGAGCGGAATCGGCTAACGTTCTGACGATTTCTTGGCAAAAGTAACTATCGCGTTTTCTTTTTTTAAGTTTCCTCGCCGCAAAGGAAATTGTACGTCTAAAGCTGAGCATTCAGTAAAGCAACCCGGTACGCCGCTTGATCTCTACACAATGCTTGTCAGCGCAGGCGCTCGGCGCTCCGGTGCCGCTGCCGGTGCGGTAATAAGGTCAACCCTCCATAGACCACTACACTCTCAGAGACAGGTACAGTTTCTGGCCCTTTAACGCTTGTTAAATCCTAGTGGGCGTCACTGCTGACCCTCAGTTATTAGTTCTCTTCTTTCATAGCGGCCCGGAATTCCCAGTCACAATGGCGGCGGGCTGCACGAAACAACTCTGCCTTCCGTGGACGGAGCCAACCGTCTGGTTACCCGTCTTTGATCTCTTCTCCTCGCTTCATCTCTTCCTCTTCCTCCGCCGCGACCGTGACCAGTGCAACCCCAGAGACACCTGTAGATAACGGTGTTCAGACAATTGAGGCTTTATCGGACGGCAGTAATCCCGCGCTAGATCTTTCCCAGGTCCCAGCGAAACTAGGATATCTCAAAGAACTTGGGTTAGACTATGGCTTTGGGCCATCGTCATTGATCGAAACGTTACTTGAGTCCATACATATCTATGCTGGGTTACCGTGGTGGGGAAGTACGATTGCTGCAGCTGTATTTATCCGCGTTGCGCTTTTTAAATTCAATCTCAACGCCTCCGACATGTCTGCAAAGCTCCGACGGATGCAACCTATCACCAAACCCCTTCAGGAACGCATGTTGAAAGCTGTGCGGGAAGGAAATAATCTCGAAGGTTTGAAACTAAAACAGGAAATGGCTATGATACGTGAACAGCATGGCGTGAAGATGTGGAAAACCTTTGTTCCAATGTTACAAATCCCTCTGGGTTTTGGATTTTTTAGAGTTCTGCGAGGAATGTCCTCGTTGCCAGTACCAGGACTGCTGTCCGAGCAATTCCTGTGGCTTAACGATATAACGCTCTCCGATCCTTTTTTTATCCTCCCTTTGGTTACCGGGGGTTCAATGTACTTTGCTATCAAGGTATGTCCACTTAAACCGCCCATTGGATCTATAATGAATGAGCAAGCCCTGACCTCCCATTGTAGCGCGGCGGCGAGACAGGCATGGACTTTGCCAATTCTCCGCTTGGAAAATTTATGTTATACGGGCTGCCCGTCATTTCGACCACTGCTATGAGTTTCTGGCCCGCTGTCCTACAGCTCTACTTCGCCAGCACCAGTTTGCTCGCTCTTATTCAAGCCTATCTGGTGACTTCTCCTGGTTTTCGTAAACTCGCTGGCGTTGAGCCTCTTCCGTCGAAAGCTAAACCCGTAGGTCCCAACGAACCTGGGGCTAGTGGGGCGTCTGGTCGAATTCGCGTTATCCCAACCACGGCACGGGTGGTGCCAGAGGCACGACAGAACCCTGAACAGCAGGTTTACTCGCCCCGGAAGGTCGGCGTTATCGATCGTACTCTCGATAACGTGAAGCAGGGGTTCCGTGACGTGCAGAAACAGGTGCAGGAAAAGATGGACGAAATGGCAGGCGACAAGACAGAGAAAAACCCCGACGGAACGCCAAAGGCACCGCCACGGCTCTCTAAACAGGAACTTGAGAATGCTGCGGCATACGAGAAGCGACGAAGGGAGCAACTTGAAATGGAGCGAGAATTGAGAAATCAGAGCCTGCGAGAAGAATATATGAGGAAGAAGCAGAACATACAGTGAAGCAGAAAGATAAGAGCTTTTCACTTGGTGTTATTTTATATTTACTGGCTTCTTGCATCGAATTTTCGGCGAAAGAGTGTATATATGTACCAGGTTTGGATGGGGAATGTTTCTGCTGCTTTTTTTGTACTACTATTTCTTATTGTCATCCCTCATTAGCCGAGACTTGTCCTTCTACCTATATGTTAACTCCCTGGAGATTTTGGCTTTGCGGGCTTTGCTGTCTTTACAACTAGATTCCTGATTATGCTGGAAAGTTCAGGGAAGACGGGTTCTTAGATCATTGAAGCAAGTCTGCGTTCATCGCTTATTATTATTGCGAATTCTGATAATTCCCATGTTAAACTGTGAGTAATCCTTTACCGGTACCGCCTTGCTGCCTCGCTATAATCAAGATTCATACCCCATGAAATGCACCATACTTTCTAAACGCCAGTGGCCCGAGTATCTCACGACAATTCATTTACCCATAAACTAACGAAAGAATTCAGCTTTGGGACTTCCCACCATTTATTGGCCAACAAACTTTACATCACCTAAACAGCCGCCTACCACCACTGCCGCTTCTGACACTCCAAGTAAATGCACCACGAACAGAAAGTCCGTTCATGCTCAAACCTGTGAAGCCAACCCCACCTCCCTCGCCATCACGCCGATACCGTCGGAACGCTTCTCGCAAGTGAGATGGGAGGAGAGGGCCACGATGTGGGTTAGGAGGTAGTTTAAAAGGTCTTCGGCGACTGGCGTGACGTGTTTCCCCTGGCGCTGTTGTAACAGTAGTAGCTGTCGTTGCAGGTGACATATTGAATGACATGGTACTTTGGAGGGTTGTTTGTGTGGAATTTGGCGGAGCGCTGACTGAAATCCCATCAAAGCTTTGTGATTCTTCCTTTTTTATCACCGGTTCTTTTGGTCCTTCGACCTTTACGATTGAAGGCGAAGGCAGCGAGGTTGTTGGCTTAGGTTTCTCCTGTCCTGAAGGATCTGAAACCTGTTCTGCAGCTTGTGATTCTTCCTGAATAGTAAGTTCTTCCTCCTCTGCTTCGTACGCTTCAAGGGCGGCTGCATCAGTCGTATCAGCCCATTGTTGCTGGACAGTCCTTGCCTTTTCTACCATCTCCCCTATAAATATCTTGGTATACCCGCTAATGGTGGTGATAACATTTGGGGGGACGGATTGCGACAGGGTTTGATTGACAATTTTTCGTAAAGTAGGCTTGTTTAACTTCGCACGCTTAAATAAATCGTATCGCTCTGACTGCTCAGGGTTGAAGGCATCGATTAGGATGCTGGTACGCGCCCAAAGCGGTCAGTCATAGAGTTGACACGGTGTAAGGCGCATATACTTACGCAAGATTCTTCTTCTCCGCCTCAGCGTCGACGGCAACATCATCGCGCTCCATTAGTTCGGTGTCACCCAAATCATCATCATCTTCTTCTTCTCCCTCCTCGTCACCAACGCCTCCCTTTGCAGACCCAGCTCCTTTCCCGTCCACGGTACCAGCGCGCACGCTTCCAGATGCATCATCACGGTCCTTTTTGCCTTTTTTCCTTCTTCCCCGGCCAGCGCCGACACCATCCACGCTCCCAGTTAAAGAGCCAGTAAAACTGCCTGTGACACTTGCGCCATCAATTTCTGACCTGGCGCTTGTGGCTCCAGCATAGACGCGGGGATCTGTATCTGCGGATGTGGGAAAGGAGGTTTGGCGGAGTGGATGGAGACGCGGCCTTTTGGAGGGCTGGGATGAAGACGACGAGACTGCTGATGAGAGAGAAGGCCTCTTTTTGGAGTTGGAAGCGGGTAGGCTGAGAGTAGTGGGAGGCGGAGAGAGGGACATGGTTGAAGCTGTGAACTGAAAAAAGATCTGGATAAGTCTACAAGCTGTTATCCTGAAGGGATCGACAGTTTATAGCAATAAACCCAAAGGCAAGCAACCATAAGATCATCCTGATCCAGTCATGCATAAAGAAGTAGTCAATCTGAGAGAGATTCATCCTCCTCTCAATGCTCTGTTTGCTGGCGCTGATTGTCCTGCTTCCCGTTCATTACGGGGTTGATTATGTAATATATGCGTAACAACGCCTTTCACGGTGAACTCGGACACTTTTGCACGTGACATAGTCTGATTTTTCCGCACCAATCAAATCTCTCAGTCTTCATCATCATATATTCATTTCACAGCATGGCTTGCACCTCTACATGGTGCCTGGGACTAGTAGCCTGTTTGGTGAAGCCAAGCAAGCCATCTTAAGAAGGCTTTATATCACATGCAAAAGTGTCTGAGTTCACCGTGTGTCCGAGTTCACTGTGGAAGACATTAACCTAACTAACATAATCCACCACCAAGCGGATCTCCAAAATACACATACAAATCTCAACTTTTTGCTCTCTTATATCTCAACAACATTGTTGAATATAGACTTTAGAATTTATATGTAGAGTATATAGACACTTAATAAACAGTCTTATCAATTTTATTTATTTAACTCTATTATTTGTGAAGATACTTTGATACATGCTAGTAAAAAGATAATAAAATACTATAACTTAAGAAATAATTATTATATTTAGATAATTCTTATAATTCACAAAGTTTATTATATCTGTATAGTATCTTCTTCATTTTATAATGATCAGACATAGACTTGTTAAGATATAAGAGAGCAAAAAGTTGAGATTTGTATGTATATTTCAGTGTCTCGCTCGGGGGTGGATTACATTAGTTAACTACCTGCTCTGTACTCTGTACGGAGTACGAAGTAACTAGTTAGTTAGTTTATCTAACATTGCTCGCGGTGAACTTGACCAACTTATTCCTATGTCAAACACCAATTAAAATCTCTTAACCGCAATCCTCATACAGAAATATATTCAGGAATCATGAGTGTAAATAAACTTGCTTTAGCTGCTTCATTAATTCAAGATCACTGATTGAGTCAGTGGAAAGCTGCCAGGTTATATAATGTTCTTTCAAATCAAGCTTAAATAATTATATTGATGGTTGTACGGAGTACTCCGTACGGAGTAGCAAATAGCTGAATAAAGAGTCAAATTTCTGTGGCTTTCTAGCAAGCCCTTTTGCCTCCCAAAGTACACCGTAAATTCCTCCACTTGTACGGAGTAGTGTAAGATAGCTATGTCATCATCCCAGCTGGTCCGATGCATTGGCTGATTATCGCTCACCTCATAGGCCATTATGGAAAATAGGAATTGATATTTAGAATTAATGGTTTGAGGGAAGGAGTGGTTCCTTTTCCAAAATACTAATATTCGCGAGTTAAGCTGAAGGTCTATTTGGTTCTGGCTCTTTTGATGTCATGGACTATTTGACAATTTTGAAGTGTATAAAAGACGTATTCACTTGGTGAAATAACTCTTGCTCTACGCAATCGCTTATTCTCCCAGATCGATCCAGAACTTGAAGTGTCTGCCTCCACTATCCGGAGAATTCACACATTGAATCATGCTTGCAACCAACAACAGAGTCACCCTTGAACTAGAAACCAAGGAAATACTTTTGGAGAGATGAGCAAAGAAGTCCATACTACTCTGTATACCTACATAGAATCTACCATAATCTGCCTGCCACTCAAATCTATAGTGTGATAGAATGGAGCTGGAAGTTCCACAGCACATCCCATCATCCTAAACCCAATCAATAAGGTTAAGCTTAGAGATCTACCAGCATTTGAAAAGCTAGAAAATTAACTTCCATTTGAAAAAGGAGCGGCAGTTTTCAACTAGATGGTGGATCACCAAAAAAGAAGATGAAAACAAACATGTGAAAATCAGAGACAGAGTGACTTCACCGCTAAGGGATTGGGTTGATAAGCTCAAAATGCCCAGAGAGCCATCAAACGCAGCGGCGGGTTGACCAATGTTCATTAATCCCGAAATAGAGAAAGTAAATACCGAAATCAGATCATAAACGCAGTGAAAGAGCATGTGTCATTCTTGATAGCAACAAATATCAATTTAGAATCCAGTTTCACCAATTCTTGGGGCTCCTCCTCTCCAATCATTACGTTCGTAGTAGCGGAACACGAGGTCATATCCGTCCAGGTCGTGGACAATACGGTCAACACGTCGATATCCGGGGATATGCTCCATCTTTGCGTTGCGTAAAACGGCATGGCGTTGCAAGGCCTTAGAATCATAGATGCTGGGTGCATCAGCATGGGGAGGCTTTGCTTCGAACAAAGTAACACTGAAGCGTCCAGGCTTGAAGATCTCCACGACGTGTTTGACAATATCGGCAGTTTCACGGCCAGACTGAGCATGCGGAACGTTGGTTTCAAACGATGCGTATGAGCAATGAGGCTCAGGAGTCACATGGACCGTAAAATAATGGGTGCCAGACTTATTGTCAGGGGACGGAACAACCCCGTTGGCAGAAAACCCACATGGAGTGAATAGGTAGGCATCGACACGGGCATCCGGGTACTTGTTCACAGGATAGACATCTGAGAGCCCGCAGGAGTCAGAAACCACGGTACCTAAAGCATGACCTTCGCTTGTTAACTCGGGTGGCAGCGATTGTCCAGCATCCGACTCGATATCACTATTGTCAGAAGAATTGTTGCTGAATACATCCAAATGATGATCGTTGTTCTGGTGGAGAGATCGATGACGATCTTCTGCGACCGCACTCGCATGGTCGAGATAGAATTGCTTTGCATTCTTCTCGTCCAGATCAGTCATCAATATCTCAAGAGTCTCGTCACTTTCATCGCATCGCCTGTTCTCTGGCTGCATGCCATTCATTGCCTCGGGTAAAGTCAATGACTTGATGGAAGTCTCGTGATTCGGCGTCGTAGGTGGCGTTAACGACGTAAACGGTTCAGTCAGGTAAAGATACCAGTGTTCACCATTCATTTTACCGATCATATAGGCACTTCCTCCTAAGAAGAGCTTATCCAACGTTTTGACCTCATCGCGCCAGCTGCGGTGAGGACCACGCTGGCGGTCCGGGAATAGGAAATTTTTGCGACTGTAAAATACCCGATACGGGGCTGCAGCGCTTGAGATGCCGCCATAGCAAGGCGGGCTGTTTTTCGGAAAGCCTGCATGCAAGGCTGCGATTTCCAAGATTCGAGGCAGGCCCAGTAGAAGTGTTGTTGTGCCACACGTTTTGAGAATCAGTTTGTGAGGGAAGACAAACATGCTTGATTCGGACAATAGGTAGGCATCGACATCATCGGATTCGACGATTGACAGAACTTGACAGTTGACCAAATCAAGCATGCCCTTCCAGATCTCCGGCGAGACAGCTTTAAGTCCGGTGGGAACGGCTGTCCCAGCGAGATCGTGGGCAGACGGGCTGAACCATACTTCGAGAAGCTTTTCGGGGCCTGTCAGATCATTATTAGCCAAAAAGGAACATTGAAAGGTTAGCAAGCTCGGTACTCACCCTCAAAGGCGTTGCTCGAATCAAGATCTATGGTCGCGCCATGATTAATCGTCAACGACGGCGTCCCCACGAATGAGGATGGCGAAGTGGAGTAATTGTTTGGGATTTGAACGCTGACCATATCCGAAGATGGATCGTAAATGTGACTAAATGATCCAGAGTACAAACAAAAAAGCAAAAAGCCGTAGAGGGCTTCAGGATACAGGGGTGTTCAGGTGAGCGATGCTATGAAGCACTATCTTCCACCCAGACGAACGGTGCGGTGTTCGTCTGAGAAGAGACGGCCCAAAGTCCGATAAGATTGTGCTGAAAAGACAGCAAAACAGTGAATATGTAATGTGAACCTCCAAAAGGGTGCTAGGGAGGTCTGGCGGAGAGGGGGAGGAAGAATGCCCTTAAACCGGGAATTGTGGCCAGTCTCGGGGTACCCTCGAACTGACAGATACCGATACTGGTGAAAGTATCGGGTCTAGCAGACGAGGATATCTGCGTCTGGTATGAAAAAATTTCAGGTAAACAAGAAAACGGAAGATGCGGAGGGTCTACACGCGTGGAGCTGGTGTTATCTGGGTCTAGATTGATAAAAGCAAGGCGAGTTAGCGTGTGCAATAAAGCGTTGAAGGTAGAGATCTCATAATGATCGAAAAGCTCGGGAAGAATTGAGCTGGAGAATCCTTTCTTACTTTGCAGGCTTCGATAGAAATCGTAGGAGGTCCTTCCGGCTCATGGAGAGAAAACACGGGTTCTCTTCAGAGTCACGTACGGCAAGACAACCACGCCGTTATATCATTTATACTGAATTCTCCAATGCCAAGTCCAATGAATGTAAATCCTCGTTGGAATAAAATTCGACTGCAACGGCGGAGGGGTCCAAGTTGGATGAAGTTTGCCTCAAGTGATGGCGGGGTGATAGCTCACAGATGAAGGTAGTTACACGGAAACTGAAAGGCTGTCATCACCATTAGTTGCCCCGATCAGACACGTACCGGCCAACTGATCACTACAAAGGGGACTCACAAGCTCTGGTCGTCGTTGTTAAACAGTTCGAGTTCACCTCAGCGGACTCGGGGCCTTGGACGAACAATGACGAAGCAGCACAGATTCAATTTCGTCTTTGTGCCAACGGCAAAAATCTCACGGGAAAATACACAAGTTGCTGCCCGACAATTCACAGGGGAGGCAAAGCCAAAGGAAGAGGGAAGAAGAGGGGTGTCTTCTGTGAGCTTACTGTGTGATGAAAAAAAAAAAAAAAAATTGCGCATGCGACAGTTGGACATGAAATAATTATCGATCCTGGCTAGCACCGTATCGTTCTTGTGTGTAACTGCTGTAACTGTGACACGGCTTGTACAAACTATACCGGGGCATTATGTAATTCTCCGGCAAAATCGCTAGTGGATCATCTAATTCGCCGAACCCCGGCGGGATGTGATTGTCACATAACGGCATCGTACCGGTATGAAATATTTCACAAGCCCATCGAACTGCAGGGTCGAAGGCCTGCAGGCGCACACAGTGCATATTAAGCTGGCGGGCTGGAATTCTGAGGCGAGAGTGCCTCTCTGCCGTCCTTTTTTGTCCTCGGGCTGGTGTTCCTATAAGTTTGACAAGAAGCGGATACATACGTTGCTAATTATTCTCTATCAAGAAATACATAAATATCCGTTATAACAAATAGGCCTCCAGTAAAAAGCCTGAGGCAAGTAGTGAATATGTTAAAGGTAGATATGAACCCACAAATGGCACTGCTGGTATCCATCCTGCCCCATTAACGCCGGCGCTGTACTCCGTGACCCGGATCGAACCACCCTGCCACCAATTTTTTGCGAAAACAGTACACCATTACACACGCCCGTCCTGTTTTTTGATAACGCCAAACCAAGGTCCTCGTAGTATCCAAGGCGGATTTCTCAAAACTTCCCAAGAATAGCCTGAGCAAGCCGTACGTTGCCAGAATCGATTATTCGTGAAGCTAGTATTCCTCCGATCTTTTTAGTCAACTGTTTGCTTAGCGTCTCCATCGCCCCATTTGCAACTCCGTTCGTAAGAGGTGCTTTCTCATCCTGAATCGTGGAAAGAGCTGCAAGGATAACTCCTATAACCTTTTCGGCTTCCGACTTCCGCAGCCCTTCATCTCCAGCGACATCCTTGAGAACAACTTCATATGTTGGAAGATTGGGAATGATTAGCTCGCGAATAACATCGGGTCCTCCGATCGAATGTAAACCGATTATTGCACCATAATGCGTTCCAAAGGGCTTGCTGGGATCCATGAAGTTCTTCAAGAATGTTCTCGCCAGTCGGGGCTTAAGCCTATGTGACGAATGCGAATACTTCTTGCTGATCATTCCGATGAGAGACCCAGCTAAATCGCGAAGCGTAAAGTGATCCAGGGGGTCCGATCCACCTTCAAGTTGGCGCCCAATAACGCAGGTCAATACCGGCGGAATCAGGGAGGCAACCTGGAAAGGACATTAGATATCTATCGCATGAGGAGTAACATGTATGCTCTGTACTTACATATGGGTCAACATATAGCGTTTTATTCTGAATCAACGCTTCGGTCATATGCATGACCTGCGTTAACACGAAAAGATCCTTCAAACTATGGGTGACCTTCTCTGATATGAACTGGACGAAATACGGTACGAGCTGGTGCAAACCGGGGTCCTCCTTCAGGCTAGCAAAGGCAGACAGGCGATACTCCTCGTTCGACTCATCCAAAAAAGCGCTGCAAACTCTCTCAAAGTAAAGCTGCAGCTCCTTAGAGAGAATATGCTTCACTAGAGGTTTCACTGTGACGTTCTCGTTCCCGCTCATCGCAGCCAGATTAGCGTTCGCATTTGGCCCTTTCGAAATTAATTCTAAATTGCGTGAATCGGCGGAGGTTGGGTTTTGGGGGATCGTTGGCTGGACTCCTTCCACAGCCAACCAGTGAGCTAGAGACGACACAGAGGTCCATCAGTAAAAATGAATCACCATAAACAAAATAGCTAGGCAAGTGGCAGTACCAGTGAAAGTTATCTCTCTCGGCACTCTAGGCAGCGGCGCATTGATCAACTTCTCGAAATCCACCTCATCATCTTCGACGTAAAACAGCGGTTGTCCGGGTCCAATCGTAGCTTCCCCAAACTTCAACGGACGAGTAGACTCGTAGCCATACAGAGGCTCAACATCAAGTACTCTCAATGCATTTGAGACGTCCTGGGTCGTGAGCAGTGTGCGTTTTCCGTGCCTCATAAACTTATGCGATTCTTCCAGTACCTGAGAGACGCGATACTCGACGTCTCTCGCGAGATGGTCGACGACTTCTTCATTCAGTGCGTTTATCCCCACTGATTCAGCGACATCTTTGATATTGTCTGGATTCCACACCAGCATGGCTGTGGTCGTAAAGAGCACACACTAGCAGAGGCGTTGATGACAAGGTCAGAGTCAGGAAAGCTCCTCAGGAAACAGAGAGGGGGTGGGAGCTCCGTCGTATCAGTAGTACGAGAAAACGAGGAGAAAGATATCAAAGTGTCTCAAGTCAAGGCTCATTTGTAAAAGTGCATTTGAATGAAAACGATCCTCATTCACCCCCATGTGGTTCAGGCTTTGGAGTTGTAGAGATGAATACACAGAGCTTCCATCAATGGGCTCTACAAAAGAATTGCGTTTATGGAGCCTATTGGCCTCCCTAGTTATCTGGGGCTCCGGCGGAGTACACTGACCTACACGCAACTTTATTACAAGCTACTCGCCTCAACTTCTGTGGTCAGTATAGAATGTGTTGGATACTTGAATTTAATCTTTTTAACTACCTTTAGCTCCTTCGCAACGTTAGAGTACATTAGGGTATGGGGAAGAGGTATCTTAAAAGCACGTAACCTTTTTGAATCATGCCATTAACAAGACGCCAGAGAGGGTAATATCGCCTAGGATAACGCCGCGTAATGGAATCCAGGCAAGAGACCATATTGTATCAACGGGGGGTGGTCTAGCGAGTAGGTGGCTAATTTGGGCGAGAATCAGCGGGAGCATCGGCCAAAGTATTGGCTGGAGCGTCGGCTGGGGCGTCAGTTTTGGTGTCAATTGGGACGGCGGGCTTGTCGTTCTTTGGTGCGTCATCTTTAGCAGGTCCGTTAGTAGCATCTGTCTGGGCAGGGTTTCCACTGGCAGGTTCAGCCTCCGGAGCTTGAGATGCATTCCCATTCTCTTCGGGCTTGGTTTCAGGGGCTTTAGCATCCTGGAGCGTGACGGTCCAACCAGAGTCCGCCAGAACATCACCTTTTCCACCGTAGGTCTTCGGAATTTCTTCGCCAAAGGTGGTGAATTCACGAGCCAAGTTGACTCCGTTGGTGATTGGATGGAATTTGCGGATCGTATTCTTGCTAAGGAATACCTTGAGAGCAGTAAAGACCCATCCCATCACAACTGGCAAATTGACGAAGTATTTCTCCTTCAAAAGCTCGGGATAAGCGGTGCTGAAGACTTCAATAGTTTCACGAGACGCCGCCCGGATATTTGGATTCATACGAATGAAACTAACGTTCTGATAGTCGTGAACTTGGATCATTTGATAAGGATCTTCGCCGTTGTAATCCATGACTGAAGTAGCTGTTTCAAGGCGAAGCTCGCGGATGGCCAACTCCATAAGGGCAACGCGCCATTTTATAAACCTAGGAAACATGATTAGCCAGATTTCCTAATAGAGATACTTGAAACTTACTCTTCCAGGTTGCCAAAGGTCAAGTCGACATTCTTGACTGAACCGTAAATGTTCCAGGTAAAGACTACATTTGTCTCGGTGGTCGGATCACGATAGGTTGTGATGTAGCCGAGACCCTTGAATTTACTTGAGGGGAAAGCTGCACTCTCAGCCAATGCAAGGGGGTTCATCTTTTTACGCCACTCAAGGGCTTTGACAAGCTGTTCCTCTGCAAGTTTCACATTCCCTTCGTTGGCTCGCAAGAACTTGATCATGATGTTGACAGTAGGAGCATCCTGAGCATCCTTAAGGGGGACTCCCCACATTTCATTGTGGCCGGCTTTCTCAACGATCGGGGCGAGGCGGTCGAAGAACTGGGATAGCGCCGCGTTATTGACGAGGTAAGAAGGACGCGTGTCGGCTGGTTCCTGGGGTTTCGGATCAGCAACTTGGGTATTCGCGCCGGCTTTGTCTTTGACTTCTTCGATAATGTCAGAATTGGCGTTGTCTGCAGTGGCCGCTGTGGTGGCAGCTGGTGGTGGAGCAGGAGCTTCCTTGGAGTCTTCTTTGGGTGCTACTTCGGCAGGCTTCTCAGTCTCAGCCTCCTTGGAGTCGCCAGAGAGAGCCGCAGTAGCAGCGCTGTCCTGAGGCTGTTCAACCACCCTTTCAGCAGGTCGTTCAGCGGTCTCACTCAATGTCTGACCGGGTTGTTCTTGGACTTTTTCCATGATGGAAAGAGCAAAAGGAGTGAAAGTGTTGTCTTGGGCTGCATGATGGGAGAGCTTCCAATCAGCTTCAATATAATTACACCGATCAACGTCATCCCAATGAAGTAACAAAGGGAGACCAGTAGAGAGAACACTCCACTTACCGGAAGTTAGAGAGAGAGAGAGAGAGAGTGTGTGTGTGTGTGTGTGTGTGCGCGCGACTTCAGGCGTGGCACGTGAAACTGGCTATGTTCGGAGTTCGGAAGAGCTTCGGAGCGAGAGAGGTTGGCAGGGTAAATGCAGGAGGGAAAGAGGGGAAGTGAGGTGAGGCAGCGTGAGGTGGTGATGGGCCACAGAACGGGCAATATCAAAACAACCCCAAGCAGGAGGGCACGCCGACATAATCAGGAGCTTGCCTGAAACAGGCCGGAAAGCTTCCCCAGCCAGGCCAAGTACCTCGCAATCAAGCCACCCGCGCTAGCAGGATGTGGAGCCGGTTCCGGCATCAACGACTGGTGGCAAAGTAACATTAGTACCCGCCAAGCTTGTTGGATTTATGGCTATTAAACCTTCCCGCTCTTATCCGATCCGCATTATCAGATCATCCCCTGACTGCCGCAAAGATCTGCTTAACCGTAGAGGCCGGCGGGATGGCCTTTTTATTGTTGGCATGCTTGGATCACTCCTCTTTACGAGAAGTATCCGTTTCAAGTGCATGATCGTTGATTTTTTCGAAGGGCAGAAATAGTTTGCTGTATCTCAAGGGAGTGGCAGGGAAAAGTTCCTCGGTATATTGCTCGAGGATCTAACAAAAGTTATCACAGTACTCCGGGAACGACATGTTATCGCATTCCTAAATGAAGCCCATAGGAGTACTCCGTACTCCGTACTCTATAAAGTGGTCTTGGCTGTTAGGCGAAGCTAGAGATGGTATGTCTCAATAGCTGAACTGCATGACTGCATAGTGCCAAATTTCCCTGCACAGTACAAACCCGTATCATAGTCCATAATTAGATTTGCATTCTCATCTAGCTGGGGAATAGTGAATAATGGATAAGTGGATAGTACACGTATAAGGATCTTGAAGGCAAAAAAAGGAAAAAATTATGTGGGCATAGTTATGATTTGGCAAAACGTTCTGGGAGACCAGGGATTGGAGGGGGCTGTTTGGAGGTATCCTCGTCGTTATCATCGTCCTCCAGGTCATCGGCATTTTCTGGATGCCTAATTAACAAAAGTAACATATTAGTTCATGATAAATCAAAATGGCGGCAGCAGAAACTTTCGCAAGCCGGAAGGGGATTTCATACGCCAGGAGATTCTTGACACCAGACATTTCGTAATGCTTCTTTCGTCGCTCTTCGAATGCGGTATGCTTCTCCCTCTCTTCCTGGCTCTGTGTCCGATGAAGCGCATCTCCGACGTCTTCGCCCACCACTACATGCTTCTCCGGTTTTCCACTCATGCTAGCATCGCTCATAGTCCGCACCTTCGTAATTCTCGAATCATCATTCGTATCCTGCCAATATGGCTCCTCTGGTTCTCCCAAATCTAAATCAGGGATATCATCCTCTCGGACTCTTCGATGCCGCCCAACCTTCTTCGAAGCGTTGTACATGTCCAACTCATCCACAGCAACATCATCTGCATCGATACCTCCAACGTCCGGATCGTCCTCGTCATCCTCCTCTAGATCAGGGTCATAATGCGGGACGTACGGGGTCTTCGGCTCATCGATTTTCATCGTGGACGATCGCTCCTGCTCGGTGAGATATAGATTTACTTCGTCCCACTTTAATCTGGGGGAGTTTTCATCGGCACCGTTAGATTTCGAAGCAGTGGACTGACGTCGAGATGCGGGGTTGTATTGCTTGCCAGCATTGTAGATGGTGTTTTGGAGGGTAAGTTCCTTGTTGTCGAGGGGTGAATGTGCCTTAAAAAGGGATTGAGGAGAGGTGGGAGAGGTTTGTGCTTGGCCAGGAGGCGAGAAGGATGTGGTCTGGAGCGAAGAAGAGGAATTTTTGAGTATGCCTTTTCTCCCGTGCTCCCAGCAGAATCCGGTTGTCAGTAAGCGGGAACTCGCAAATGCTCCTAGTATGTATGTGCATCCTGAAACTCACCCTTGGGTCGCTTTGGCATGTTCTCACCGGAGTGAGGAACCGGTATTTGTTGCGTTGCCATGCTATAAACTGGTGCCGTTCTTAAGTTCGGACAAGTGAGTGAGCTCGATCCTTGAACTTTCTCTTGGAGTTAGACATGTAATTGCATGTCCAGGTGAGTTTCGAGCGGGGTAAAGGAATGCGGAGGAGGAGGGTTGTCGAGGGAAAAACCGAAAAGATAGAGCCGGAAGAGAGGAGGTCTGTAATTCTCGAGACGGTGTCTGAGATCCGGGCGTATTCTTTTGCCCTTCAGTTTTCAGCTGACGCTGATGGCGGTTTTGCGTCTCGCGGCACGCCTGTCGTCGGATGGTCGTTTACGGAATGTTTGTTGCACGTGCTTGTCAAAATGACGTAATGTCATGGGGTGCCAGGAACTGCTCGGCAAGCGCCAGTGACAGCGCTGGATGACTCCGCGGAAGAAGCTTCAGCACTGCCTTTTCACGCAAAGAGCCTGTCAGCCTGTCAGAGATGAATGCAGCCCTCATGAAGGCAATCATTTGGGTGTTTTCAGCCAGAGAGTACTGGAAATATACGGTAGAAGCTATAGTCAAGACTTTATTTCCTATTTTAAAGTAATTTTTTGTCTGTCCTAAACCCCTATTTAGTGACTGTCATCCTCCCACTGTAAAAAAGCGATTCCGTAAAAAGACACTGGGGTCGGCTTTAGACTTGAACGATAGAACCAAAAAGGACCCCGTAATATCATGCCGTAGAAGAAATAAAAAGAATGTAAAGCTATCGAGACATCTCCAGAAGCACTGGAGTCAAATTCGGTGTCAAACATGTATGAAAAGAGCCATAACTTGAACAGGGGAATTGAAAACAAAAGAAACCAGATACCCAAACAGATATCAATGAAACTCCCATAATCGTGTTCGGATCCAACAAAATGATTTCGTTGCTTTTTTATTTTTCTCTTCAGTAAAATGATAGATGACACAGCAGTCATGCATAAAAAATGTTGCAAGATGGAAACGCAGACAACCACCCATTGCTAAAGGACATTTATACCACAGAAATATAATCTCAGGGACAGAAGGGGACTCGAGTTCAAGTGCAACGGGGTATAAAGAGATCCTTGACAAAATCTTAAAATCAGATAAACAGGGTATTCAACACAAGAAGTAAAGATGAAGCGGTAAACCTGGCGCCGATCACCGAATAGCATGGCAGAGTCCAACCAAATCCAAAAGACACAAAAGATATGGCACGAAACAAAGGCGGCATACATCGTGGGGTTCTTCGATTGAATCCTTCATTACGCAAGTGATTCGAATTCTTCTCGTTCTCGCAGTCTATTTTGCGCTAGCTCGTCACCGCCAGCGGCAGACAGCTGCATCCAGTGCAGCGCAAGACACAGGCTCTGTGGGTCAGATTTCAATTCCAAGTCTCGCCGATACATCATGTCACGGTTGAAAGTCTCACGTGGCATCGTAAGGGGAAATGTGACCCGCGGCAATATTTCTGGGTGAGTGAGGTACAGGATGGCTAGCTCTCGTTGTGCCACAGCATTGCCTTCCTGTGCTGTAATAATCCACATTCTAGCCGCATCTTCGATGCCGTTGCCAATTCTTGGAGAGAAGGGTGATTGACGTTGTCGTTTGTTTAGCTCTTGAGAGACAATGTTGTCTGCGATCTGAACCATGCTATGGCACACGTCATCCTTCAACTCGAACGCAGCCAAACCGAATTGCAAAAATGCAGTTCCTGCGTCAGCCTTGTTCAATACCTCCGAAGGAACGAAAGCAGCAATGAATTGCAAATCTCTAAATAATGTTTTCGGCTGGAACTTCTGGATGAGCTCTCGTAATGCGCGAATGATTTGGTTATCACTCGGTAGACTGTTTGCCGAAGATCCACTCGAGATCTCATTCGTAGCTGGAACAGGCGAGGACGGGGTCGGAGTCTGGTCATCGGCTACATTGAGTGGCTTCGAGCCTTCCGATACACTATTCCTGTGACCACGTCCTTGCCTTCGATAAATCCTAGGTAGGGCAGCAAACTGATTATTGACAAGCTCGACGCTTCCATTGCCGATTGTCAAAGATGCGATTACAAGACGACGAAGATCATTCAAAGCTCTTAATTTTGTGAAGGGGTTTGCGTGCCGCGAGAATTGATCCATCAACCGCCGGAATGCCTCGTTGTATCCGAAAGCGAAGTTATCCTCTGTTTCCCTTTCCGCATTGCCTGCAGCTTCCGACCCCGTTGCAAGATTCGCTACTTTGGATCTAGATAACAGAGAAACTGCAGATAGACTCCGCCGCAGACTTTTTCCAGATCGACAAATCGGGTCATCCTCGGGTCGAATGCTCAGAGGCGCAGAAAGGTCAGCCAGGAACCGGTCGAGTCTTTCATTCTTGGCCATCTGGTCCCGAATTCGGGCCTGGTTCAGATAATCTGAAAACCATGCATCGGTCTCGCTTCCACAACTCCAGACAGGAGAACCAAGGTCGCTTAATAGCAGACTGGTCAAGGTCTGCCTCAACTCATCCAAGAAAGCAGCTTTCCCTGGGGGGGTGCGTTCAAGTCTTCGCGTTGTTAAAACATCACTGACCATTGATGCCGGGCGGGATTGGAAGCTAGATATGCTCGTAGTAGACTGGGCCTGGGTGTGAATCGGGGACCAGAATGGTTGGTAAGATTCAACAGTCGAGGCTGCCCGACCAGGCGAGTCACCGATAGAGGATGTGTCCGCGCCACCATCCTTCGTCTTCCATCTGTCAGACCCGATGCTTTGGAAAGAAGACTTCCGCACGAGCGACGGAACATCATTAGGTGCACGGAAAAGAGAGTCTAAGTTTCGACCACCAAGGGACTGTGATGGGTAAGGATATAGACTCTCCTCACTCGTAATGCTTGATGGGCGAATGCTTGTTCCCGTGCTGAGGCCCGTAAGAGGACGCGCGCCAGCTGCTTCGAACATCGATCGCTCCTTTTGAAAGAGCTCACTCGACCAGAGAACCGGACTATCGTACATCGATTCTCCAACGAGCTTGCTGACGCTTGTCTTGACCTCGTAAGAAAATCGATGTATTCTCTCCTCTCCCCGACAAAAATTATCGATTCCAGAACGGTGAAGCCATTTTCTCGTGATATCAACTTGCTCGTCTGATAGTTTAGTAGGTCCTCCCTGGCTAGCCGGAGCTTTCATCACGTTCATAACTTGAATTTCCGGTTTTTGAAGAAAAGAACCACCAAGCGACCGGGACCCAAATTTCGACTTGGGTTCAGGAGCGGCTGATAAAGCTTGGAAACCCGCCATCGACTTCAAAGCGAGAGCTACATTCCTTGCATCTTCATACCGCAGAGAGTTTTTGACATCAGTCATATACCACATTTTATTTCTTAACTTCGCCAAACTTCCCATGGCTGACTTGACTTGACTCTGAAAATGGTTCAGAGTATGTTTTAGTCCAATAGTCTTTGGCGAGCACTGGTTGACGATCGAGAAATCGAAATCTGCAGAGTGCTTCGCTGCCCAATATAGCGGGTTAAGTACCTTATCGTCCGTGGCAGATGTGGGACGTCCCTTGGCGACAATCCGTAGCAAACGCGCTGCATTCCACCAGTAGTGGGAAGTAGGAAAATCCGACTGACGCTGACAGCGGATCATAGCATTTATAAATCCACGCCTTAGTGAAGATTCACTTTCGGCACAGTCAGGTGTATTCGATCCATTGTCCGCGCTGGCCACGTTTGACAAAGGATCAAATTCATCCGTGAGCCTAAAAATAGCATTCTCTAGCGCGTTTTGATCTTCCATTGACAAACCAGCCAGATTAGTAGGCGTGGCTTCCAGAGACACGGAGTCTTCTCCGTCCAACTGTAAAGAAAGCCGATGTCCATCAGTCGAGATGGCGATGATCGCCCAATCTTCACTCGTAGGGGCGTCCAACGAATGACGATCCTCGGATTCATTTATTTCGGAAAGCTCGTAGCGAATGCGATCCGCATTGCGGGAGAATGATTCTTGTGGCGAAACGGGACTAGCAGTCCTGCTCGGCGAAACATAATAAGACTTTGGCGAATCCTGAGAACTTATTTCGGTGGTGAACACAGTTTTGGCGCTGAAAGACCGACTTGAAAAGGAATTCATTCTTCCTTGGAAAAGACTTGGTTCGAATGTCCGTCCGTCATTGGGGCCGGAACAAAAGGTGGGGGATAGCGAATTCGGGAAGTTTTGAGTAGGCTCGGCTGAGTTCAACGACCCTGCTTTGGGAAATATGACATCTAATATCGTAGTAATATCAGTCGGAGATAGGAAAAGGAAATTTTCGGATACGTCGCCAGCCGAGGCGTAATCAGAAAGGGTCGTTTGAGATGTCGCATGTTTGGGAAGCGAAGGGTTAAAATGTGAGAGCATTTTCTCTATATGGTGTCTAATTCTAGGGGGCACGAGAGTATATTGCGACCTAATACAATCAATTAGATAAGTTTACACCCACAGACCTGACAGTGCACATACGGTGTTTGAAGGATCCGGGACACATAGAATTGGGCTCGGTGCGAAATCTGCCCCAGGAGTCGTTCTCGCGCATCTTTCGTAATATGGAAATCGAGCATGAGCCCATGTGCCTGGCGGATCAAATTCAGCAAATAGAATACAACAGATCTAAAGGAATTGATCTGAATCACTAACCTCCAAATAGGACAACGCACTGGGCAAATGCTTGCGGAAGAACCACTGGAAAAATATAAAATCCAAAAATCTTTTCCGGAATTCAGCTGTACCGAGCTTTCCGAGGATAGCATTTCCAAGTTCAATCGCGCCTGCTGGAAGGCCAGCATCAGAATCATCAAGGACTGCAAACAAGTCATGGACGGCAGCTTGGAAAAACTGTTCAGCAACATCAGTCCTCAAGGGATCAAAGCCGTCGGTATCCAGACCCAATCTACGGTTATCCGGGTATTCAAGCAAGAAGGCACCTTTCTGGAGAACATCCATCAAGTAGATCTCAAGCTTTGGTTTTGCTTTCCATTCCGTAGCACCAGACCAGATGGACAAAATTTGACCAACAAAGGAGTAATAGCCGCTTCCGCCATGAGATATTAATTTAGCACAAGTCGAGGACCAAACGTTCAGGCGAAGGTAGGACTCTGGCGAATTCGACTCCAAGGGAGCTGCAAAGACGTTGAATAACAAAGCTGAGATAGGATCGGTACGCTCAAACGCAAAAGCATGTTCCTTGATGGCATTGGAATGAGAATTTGCCCGCTTCGAGAAGAGCGAGGGCGGCTTGTTACGAGAGCCAAGAGGGGAGGAGGCC